ATTGATTTCCCAAGTAAAAAGATGGTGCTTTCGCAAGACATACTTCTATCAATTTTTTTCAATGACAAAAATATTGTGTATGTGGATTCACACTTACTTGTCGTTAATCAGGGTGCATGGTTATATTACATAGACATATCACAAGGTGAAGTTATAGCTAAGTTGCATTTAGACTTTCGGACGCGTGGCAAAAAGCTTTCTTACTTTTACATCTTCTCAGAAGACTTACTTCTCATTGCAAATTATGAGGGCGTCAAATATTTCAAGATACATAATGTAAGAAATTTATTGAAAGATAAATAGTGTTAATGATGGCATTTCGTGTTATTACCAGCCGTTGGAACTATAGTTTTTAAAAGATACTCTTATACATTTTTCTTATATTCTTATAATCGCGTGGTTATAAAGTCATAATTTTAGACGTTGTTGACTGGCATCAACGGTGGAAGCTGTAACAGAAGAATTTAAACCATGTTTCTTGCGCGATTCAAAATATAATGTATAAATTATACTACATTCCCGAAATCGCATTCAAATTAGATCCCATTGTAGCATTCTATTCGACCGGCTAACATTCAGTGTGTATATATAGTTAGAAATGTTCATCATGCATAATTATATAAAACTTTTTGTCACCTACGAACTTAGCTTTCATCCCAGCTATTCATTATACATATATATCGTGAGGTTTTTGCATAAATGTCATTAAATTTAAACGCGGAGACCTGTTTCGTGCTCGTTTGAACAATTAATTTGTCATGAAATTTGAGAAAATCTAAACGGAATTTTCGAATGAAAATACCATGTTTGCAAAATTTTACAAATCCGCGAACTATGCCGTAGACTTAAGGGAGTTGTTCTTCAGATACTTCAATTATAGCTTTATATTTATATACTGGTTCAAATTCCCACTATCGCTCACCAAATATTATCAGAATAATTGAGTGATAATTGTGTGTTTTATCAAATCCCAAAAATTTGTAGCATCCAAATTGATGTTAATGCTCAAAGTATAAGTAAGACAAAATCTTAAGATCTTTTAATACCGTAACAAAATGTGTACTTTAGTTAACCAAAACTGAATATATACTCGATGTTTTTGTATACATATACTCGGAATTTAGAAACCACAGTTCAGATGCAGGGCCGTAGCTAGAGCTTAATTGGGGGGGGGGGTCATATTCATATATTCGTCCCGACTGATTTCTTTTGTGCAATATTGTTCCGGGGGGGAATATATATGGGTGTATGTAGGAATATACACCCCCCTCCTAATTTAGCCGTCTAGCTACGGTCCTGTTCAGATGTCTTGCAACTGAGCTCCACAGTCTAAAGCCGCGTTTACACTTCAGGCCAAGACCTGACCTGGACCAGGTCTAGGTAATATGTGCTAAGTTCACACTGTTTTCCTTGTTGATGATATCGGATAGTCAAAGTAATTGACAAAATACTTGGAAAAAAAACTCCAAAACACGCAGAAAATTGGTAATACTGTATGGATCCTATAAAATTATGTTAAGTTAAGAATTTTTCAGGACTATAGGTACGGCCTGGTCACATTAACAAAATCGTCCTGGCCTGGTCTACACCGGATTGATCGACCAAATAAAAATTTCTTTCCACAAAGCTATAGTTTATATTTTTAGTCGTAACTGCATGTTTTGAATACATCAAACAGACCATAAAAGCAGGTGTAATAATGTATCGATATAGCTTAGTACATATTCAGTTCATATAAATGGTTTTCTTACTATCTGCAACGTGGTATTTCACATTGAAAAAATGATTTGTGAAATGGATGACAATGAAACATTAGCAGTTATTGTTGGCAGAATGCCTACCTACGTGCACCATAATAATTTTATTCTCAATCTATGTCTATAAATATACCATTTTAGAGTAGTTCAATTTTTTTTCGAAATTTATTTTTAAAGCATGTTTTACTTCTTATTATTTTTACGATTACCCATACATTACTCTATGATTGTCATTCATCTTCGATATTCCAGATATGCATGATGACGTCAGGAGTGTGGCTCGCACGATTTTGTATTTATTATTAGCATGATAAAATTACTGGATACTGATTGATCGAGAAGAGAACAGTTATTTCATTAATTGTACTGCAGTGATAGAGAAACGCAGAACGTTTTTTGCCAGCCACGTAGGAATTAAAAAGGCCGGAAAGGTATTCGAAAATACAGGGGGGGGGAGAGGGGGAGTAGAAAATATTGGATAAAAGTCTGAAGGACAGTGTTTTGACCAAAAACTTTTATACTTATTGCAAATTTCGTCTCAAAAGTTCGCGATAAAGCACTCCGACGATTTTACGATTTTATCATGCTAATAATAAAAAAATTATAATCGGCAGCTTGTCCAACTTTTGCCAAATTTTTTAAACATCACTCGCACTATCAACTCCCGAATTGTACTCGCCATCGCATGATAACCTTGCTTACAATTTGATGTCTATTACAATTTACACAAAATGCACCGCCTGGAAAACGACGATTAAGGCTAGAAATGGCAATTTTTGGAAGCATGTAGTTGCTCTTTTCAAAATAGAAACCTTCCGCTATCATGGGGGACAAAAACAACTCGTCCGGTCGCCAATGACGTCATCATAACGATATTTATAGTGACGTTAACCATCAATCCAAGCTAACGGATATCAGAATGTTACTAACTTACTATTAATTGGATTATTTATTGGATAGAGTAAGGTGTGAGAAATATTTAACAGCTGAAAAAAAAGCAAAAACATTGATAACTGCTTTTAGTTAGTGACACAGATGACATAATGACAGTCACTACAAGTCAATTAGCCTTTCTCACGATGACGAATATGCCGTCATTTATCAGCTAATTTCTATGCATGGTCTTTAATTTTAGGCTGGCGTTATTCCTCAAGTGATGTTGACTCCAAAAAACTTGCTTTTCATGTTTTTATAATTTTTTAAACCGGTGTTTAAGAAAATTGAAAGTACCACAAAAACGTCACCGTGAGAAAGGCTAATAAGTGATTTCAAATAGCATAACAAGGTACATAATTATATCAATAATAAATTAAAAAGTAAATATCGAAGATTTTATTCAGTGATATTTACCAAGTCTATTACGCGAATAATTGTTTTAGTACAAAGGTGATTATTTCAGAAACTTGACCAACGTTAACCTGTTAGCCTATATGATTGCATTCCTTTACCAATGAAATATATTGTATACGGAAGTTAAAATAGAAAGAAATTTAGCCAAATTTCCCTCCGAGTTTTAAGCTTTTTCTTTCTCTAGAAAACTAATCTTAAGTTGTCTAACGAATCAGTGGTCACAATCATGCACTAAAAATCACCTTTGTAATTATTGCATGTTTTATTACTTAATTTCGTTTCTCTTCAAACTTTCGAACAGAGATTACTATAGTGTTGATACTGTTGTGAAATAAACGCGAATAATTATACGCGTTTTATTGTAATTTTTGTATAATTATAATTATATTCAATTCAATAAATACCCTCATACTTTTTAGATCGTTTTCGACTGAGTTTACTTCACTGCTTTACTTTGGATTCAATTGCGTCTAGTTTGTCAAGTTTTGCCAACACAGTCTTCATCATATCGTGGATATCTTTCAGATTCTTCCATGTTGTTATCCTCATCGTTATGTTACGAAATTTTAGTTCGATAACTGGTCTTGTGGGCGTATTATTATCCCCGAGCCGGTGCGAAGCACCGGGCGAGGGTACTAATTCCGCCCGGAGATTTTAATTACGCCCGGGAATGCAAATGCGAAATGAAAGTTGTCCGCCATTATGTCATGGACGTTGGGCGTTTTTGTAAGTTATGCGCATGCGTGAGTATAAGACGAGTTAAAACTGGTAACTAGCAAACGTTTACAAACGTGCGATTGGCTAAATTAAAATTTGGGTCACGTCAGCATAACTGATATTTTGAATTATAAACCTTTTTTTAAATAATATTTTTCATTTGGATGGTCTTAAAAATATACGAAAAATTGACTCGTAAAATTGATTAAAATATAATGTAAAAGATACCTTTGGATAGAAAAATTTTCATTCTAATGGATGGTAAAATATCTACGATTTTGAAGCATTTTTAAAGTGTTTTTGAACAGGTAAATGGGTAGATTTCGCCATTTCGGTATTTTAAAGTATACTAGTGTTTTGTAAGTTTAATATGTGGATTTATCAACAAATGTATGACCCCTCTTTGAATTTATTCGTCAATATATCGTTGAAATGATTTGGATTTGAAAAGTATTTATTTTTAAAGGTGGATTTGTTTAAAAAGTAATTGAAATTTCGCTAAGAATTGTAGTATTTAAAACTATTCGTAGCACAATTATGATTATATTATAGTCGAATTTGATAGCTCGAGAGTCGACTTTATAATTCTACCAAGATATAGGATTTTACTTTACGACTTCGATCATTCAGCAGAAACGAGTATCATAGAATTTCAGTGATGGAAATATTGTTTATAGCTTTAAATATTGTTTATTGTTTAAAGTTTATTGCGTCAGGCGAGGGGACTTTGCATGCAATGTATTTCTAGTTTGATAAATTCAGAGATTGCGCCGCGCGCTTAGTCATAGGGCCATAGGCGTATATAGGGACAGGGGGGCAGGAGGGCACTTCTTCCCCCCCAAAATTTCGAGAATCAAGACATTCGGGCAAAGTTTAGCCGGAAATTCTGGCAAACTGAAAAAGAGTTACATAGCTAAAAAAATTAAAAATTTGTAATATATATCACATATTTGTACTCTATTTGGCCATTTTTGTTACACTTTCTTCTAAGCACATCCGGCGCTTTGCCAAGTTTATTGTTACAAATCTGGTAAAAGTTAAAATTCGGGCACATTGTATAATTCAAAAATTCGGGCGATTTCCCCCTCCCGGGGTAAATATGAAGGAAATCTAATTTAATCTCCCAGGAATTTTTGACTTTGGAGTTTCCGGTTTTTCAGCTTCAGGTTTCATTTTGTTCATTCACGTCCGTACATGTTTTAAAATATGAATTTTACTATATTGTAGCAAGAAACAAATCATTTTCGAACTGAACTCAACTTTAAATTAAGAAGAATAGTCTGCAAGCTGATGAATGAGACATGCAGTTGAGGTGGGTATATTTATATTGCTTGATTTAATATTCTTTCACACATGTCCCACGGGCATCCCATGAACCAAAATATTTCGTCTACTTTTAACTTTACATATATGCTTTCTGCTAATGACCAGTTCTGATTTCGATTCATGGTGTTCACTTCGAATTTTACCTAGGACAGCTGCAGGAAAGAAGGCGTCTTTTGTGTTAATGCCATTAGTTGATTTAGTTCTGGTTTTAAAATAAATTCACAGACTAGAGGCTAGAAGCCTAGAACCTTTCTTGTCCAGACCCGTTCAGAGCATATTAAATACAGGCATTGTGCACACTTTTTATCGTTGTATTATAAAAAAGCGAATAATTATGTTCTTATAAATTGAAAAAACCCCAAACCTATTTAAAACACCCATACCAAATATGTAATAGTTAGAGTTTGAATCCCTAAGCTCTCTGTTGGGACCCACATGTTTATAAATGTTTGACATAAGCATATTTTAATGCATGATGACATTAAAATTTGTTTGTAGCTGCAAATAATATTAACAATAATTACAACTTACAGATATGGATAACAATCTTTAAAATTACAACTCAAGCACCATCAACATGTCCCTGGGTTGTGTCATCTGTAGCAAATTTTAACAAATAGGTGATAAATTGTAACAATAGGTGATATCAATAGTTCTATTTTTCTTTAAAATTTTATTTTTCTGTACAGGTTGTCCCAAAAAACCCCCCCAAAACTATTGAAATCATGATTAACTTTTAAAGTTCTGTAGTTAAGGAGTTGACCAATCAAAGTTGTGTATTTAGCTAGGAGTTAGTTAACTAGGATTTAACTATGCAAAGTTTAGTTAAATAGTTTTATACAGCCAGCCTAAATTTGACTTCTAATTAAGCATTTTCATGCATAATGGTGCTACTCTGAGTTACCAATTGGGCAAGCTGAAACATTAGCCCTCCCATGGTGGGAATCAACTTGTAACTTTGGTTTTGCTGACCATCTTGGACTAGTAACTCATTTATATATGTTACTTACCTAGCGCCAGGTTACCATTATGATTATTTTGAACTTAAAAATATGCATACATCAATATTATAGAATCAACGCAAGTTTTTATTATAAGCACAAACTCAAAAATGTGATTAATATCATATCAAATTATATAATTCTAAAGTTTTTCATTCAAATGCAGTTGAAAATATGACAATAATATGACAATAAAACTTTGAATAACCAACCATTTGAACCCGCTGCTATGAACTTCAGGTCACATTATGTAATTTTTTTAATCAAAGTCCACTACAAGGCAATGAAGGTTTTAGTTCACATAGTAACCAATGATTCAGTTAGTTTACATGCAAGAAACTTAGTCACCTCCGATCTACCAAAAGCAGAATTTTATTACTTACCAAACTGCATGCACAGATGGTCACAGTTCAAAGTAATTGATTACTCATTTTAATTCAGTGTTCATTTGAATTGAATTTCTTAAAGAGTATATTTAAATACTCTTCATACACCTACATGAGTAGAAGGCTACATTCTACCAATCAAATTCAACACTGTATCTGTTTTTACTGATCGCAATATGCTAAACTTCAGATGTTTAATTCTCGTGCTAGCTGTTTCTTTGTATTGTTCGTGCTCATGAAACATTCGTCTTGTTACAATTCCAATAAAATACTTATTAGTAAATTTATTAATAAGGAATTAATTGTACTGACCTGGTTCTGTATTTAATAGCTACTGTTTCTTCTGAAAAAAAGAGTGTTAAGGGTGTTCTCACACGCGAACCAATCGAAATAAATCGTTGTCGCATGTGACATATTTGTTGTTTTTGCAGTGTCTGCCAATCCTCTGTTTTTATTTATAAACTTTCTCTGCTAAAAGCTGAAGCAAAAACACTCATTTAGCTGGAGTAAACGCTTAGCAAGCGTCTGTTTATGTGTAAGATTACTGGCAATAAAAATATTCCAGATATCAGCAAAGTTATTAGTGTCACAACTCACAAATATTATCTGTCAGGTTACCCGAAACCTGCATATATTTAATTATGCTTCTTTCAAAAAATAAGACTGAAGAAATGTCAATGTAGGCACGAATATCTCTACAAACATGACCGGTTAGTTTAGGTGATGAAACTTTGAATGAATTAAAACAGACAGTTAGAGTTCATTCCTAAAGCAGTGGAATTTTTACCACATAAAAAGGACACTTGTTTTTAGCAGTCGAAGGCTTATAAATTATATGCTTATTTTATGTGTAAAAGTTATACACACATGATGATGGATTTTCACTACACCCCGTCACAGGGTAATTGAATATGAATCATTTTTTTATCTAATAGGTGATGAGGGATGTTGTCCATGAAGCGCTGGTGGAAACATGATAGCTAAGTACTGAGGTAGGTATAGTTTCAGAGAAACTGGCAGACTGCTCTAAGGAATACGTTTGTATTCCTTTTTCATTGTCATTGGATGGGGTGCAGCATAGTTTTGAACGTGATTCAAATTAGATCAAAAGCGCGTTGAATGTTCGCCGATGGAGACAAACGGCTGGTTAAGTTTTTTGTTAAATGCAAAAATGTGTTCCTACACAACCGTTCGTATGTATATCTTTGCAATTGTAGCAGTACGATTACAATCATAGACCTCGTTGAGAAAAATGTGTTGTAAGCGACTTCTGAGCTGTTGTTACCTTTCACAGCAAGTAGTACAGTGTCTACGATTTTAAATATATCAATATACATGCAACCTCGGCAAGTTAAACAGTTACGATAAGAAAATTGTTTTAAGGATAGGTATTTCGATTGAATAATATTGAAATATTTTCTATAAAACATCAGTGCATCGAGCAAACCGTAGAGCGTCACACCCCCCTTTCAGTCGTCAGATATGCTTTTGACTGCATTAGAAGATTTTCCGGGATGACTAAACAGCAATGTTAAGGATAATTTGCATGAATTCGGAAATAATAATCCTGCTAAACTAAAACTTACTTGAGAGCATCTTAGTTAGACACGCGCTATGATGATATAACAGCGTGTAGCAGCATTGCTGTTGCAATTTGTACACGATTATCATTATCGTCATTCCTGGGTGATGATAGAGGAATTGTCTAATTATTCCTTTCAAAGCTTGCGTTGCATTTTTGATAAGTTCAGTTCATGTTTGGATTCAAATATTCTCATTTAAATTTGTAAGCAAAAACAGCACATCGAGGCTGGACCTAATTTCAGGCGCGCGCAAGGTCGTTAATTGGGGGAGGGGGTAAATATGCATATACTCACATTAAGAATTATTAGTTTCTTTTAAAATTGATTGCGTTTACGGTCTGCTATCATGAATATATTGGTATTTGCCGCCCGCTTGAGGAACTTCCGCGGCCCCTGCCTAAACTAACTACATTTATGACATGGCAAAATTTCTATGCATTTGTTGAAGGTATAAAAAGCGTTAAACTCTTTGCTTTTAAGATAATGATTTATTTAAAACACCAGTCACAAGCCAACATAATTTACATGTTGTCCGCTCGGCTGACTTCCCAATAGTTCTCCCACGTGCAATAGTGCAACCTTATCTGTCCCGATCACATGACTTAATTAACCAACCAATCAAATAAATCAATTTAGAATATAATGATCCATTGTTTTCTACATTCTCCCCAACCAAAGAAAGTCGTTATCGCTGCTTTCCTCGGTGATCTCCTTCCCGTCGTCAGATCTTCCGTTTCCAACTCCGTCTCCCTAGCTTCGCCCATTTCTTCGTTCCTGTCTTCCCCCCCTTCTTTATCCTTCGTATCATCGTGTTCAACAATCTCGAACGGTATCAACTTTTGCAACGGTCGATCAACCGATGTATGTGCTCCACCTTTCGCGAGGACCTTGGGTTTGGCCCCCCTCATCACGCCCCTTCACGTGCTGAGGAACTCTTCCCATACGTTCGCGGCGTAGGTAGGTCATCTTTGATCAACGCGATATCGCCAGCTGTGAGATCTTGCGAACCGGTTTTTCTCTTCCGGTAAAGATTCATCTGTCGCAGCTCGTTTATGTATTACCTCTGAAACCGTATCCAGCAATCCTTCAGGATTTTCGGCAAATGTTTTACTCGTTGCTTGTACTGTCCGAGGCTCGCAGTGAATGAATTAGATCCCCGCTTTCAATAACCGCGCCCATGAATTAGATGAAATGGCGTCATTGCTAAAATTACTATTTTCTCATCTTCCGAATCGCGATCATACCACAAGAACCACAAAATCTCTATGTTCACTAGATATAGCGATATTAAGAAATACCTGCTTTATGTCTGCTATTATATCAATTTTATGACGCCTAAATCTTAATAGGATGTCAAAAATCTTAATTTTCGCAGTGAGATTGGGTCCTGAGTGCAAGTATTCGTTTAGTGAGGGGCCATTAACCTTGCATGATGCATCGAAAACTGCACGTATTTTCGTAGTCTGTTTGTCCTCACGCACAACGGGTCCGTGACGAAGATAATAGGAACGACCCAATCTCATGCGAGGGAACGCGTTCAATTATGCCGTTTTTCTCATACTCGGTAAAGATCTTATTATACGCCGTGAAAATATCTTTAGACGTTATTCTGGGCTTCAGAGCTTTTAAGCGTCCTTCACAAACGTTAAAGTTATCGGATAGTGGTTCATGATCTGGCTTGAAAGGCAACTTAGTGACGTTTCTGGTCCCGTCATGACTTATGTCTTGTTTAAACCAGCTGACTACACATGCAGCACCAGCAGCTTCCGCCAACCAGAATTTGTCTAGATCCTGTCTTACTATATCGGTTATCTCTTCACTCTCAGCTGAAGCTCGCAGGATATTGGTCTCAAAACAATGCAGGTCAGAAGGACCTGAACCGATTCTACCACATATAATACCCATCCAACTCTTGTGCCGCATGCTACAGAATCCTGCTTGCTTCTTCTACAGCTTTGTCTGCCATGAAAGTATGGTAGTAATCAACCCCGACTAAAATTTCCACTGAGAGTGTGGCTGAATCACCCTCATTGTCCGCAAATTCTAGATCCTTAAATTCTTCTAAATGATGTGTTCTTGAAATGACATACATACATACATACACATACATACACTTTATTTAAACACGGAAGGAAAACCATCAGTACATTTGATATTTAAATATTTACAGTCTAATTTATATATAAATAAAGAGAGTATCGTGGGAGTACTGTTCTACCTGGTTGCCGTGTGGGAGTCGGTTGACCTAGAATATAGAGATTCCAGTCTACTTTTAAAAGAGGTTAGAGATGTCGATAATCTAGAGGATTCAGGCAAGCTGTTCCAAAGAAATGCCCCGCTATAAGAGAAGAAGCGCTTTAAGTAATCAGTGTTAGGTTTAGGAATAAACAACTTGCCATAGGAATTCCTAAGAGCATACTGCCCCCTTCTAGAGACGAACATCTCTTGTAGGTACTGAGGTGTTTGACCATGGGCTGCAAATTGGCTGAGGGGCTGCAAATTGTTGGTACACATAAAGCTTCAACCATAGTGGATCTTGAGTCCGATTTATTCCTAACTTTAGACGGCACAACGTCCAGCTGTTTAAATTCACTGTCATCCTGGCGTAATGTCTTAATAAGAACCTTTTCTTATCTGACCGTCTTTGACCGTAGCCTGGCTCTAACCGTAGCTGAGATGTAAGAGCGCTGACTGCCACTATCGAATAAAATCCTCGTGCTAAACTAAAAATAAGTATCTTCTACCGAATATACATGTACCCTAGCTGTTTGTAACAATATACCCTGTTGGTCACAGGGTTACTTTTATCACATCGTTGGTTACTTTTATCACATCGTCTACAAACATAGGTTGACTAACAATTTTTTGCAATGTGTGTCGAATCCAAACAAATGAAACACCTCCCCTTTTGTCGCAATTCGAAAACTGTCTTTCCGAGACTGGTGCTTAGAAACTTTAGTACATTTTAATAGGGAATGTCCCCCCTCATTCTGTAATAAACACGGGGCTTTACCAGTTTGACTCAACAACCCACTTGCGGTATAGGGCTCCCTATTCCTAAAATTTTCCGATTTATTTCTGAGCGAAGAACTACAAACTTCCTTAGCCCTAAGTTAATTGTTTAAAAACTCCATAACCTTATCTAGGTTCCACACCCTCACACAAAACTGCCTTGAAATAATCAATTTCATCAGGCAAACGATCACTGGTATCAAGCTAAGATTTAGAGATTTTAAATTCCGTACACAATTTTTAACAAGTTCCTAAATCCTTTCATGTTGTCCGCCGAATTAATTTTAGTAAGTTTAAGTAAATATTCCATATGCGCGGAAATGAGCATCTGCTCATTCCCAAATATATCCTTTAATACCTAGGTAATTCTCTGATGTCAAAGTTAACCTCGATATAGCAGAAAGAGGCTCCCCTTTCAAATAGTTAAATTTATTTATATCACTAATAGTCAGATTATTATGGATCGAAACTTGGTATTGATCCCAGAATCCCTGCCAATCTAAACGTTTTCCCGTAAACGTTTTCTCACGTAATGTTAATTTTGGTAATTTGCAATGCACTACCCTTCCGCTTGCGCTTGTATCTAAGCCAACTGTGCGTAAAGAATAATTTGCGATACTATCACTAAGATTTTGCGTCCGTTTAAGTTTTTCGAGTTTTAGATCCGCCTTTGCCATAACTTGATAACTAGGTTCTATACCTCTTTCATGTTATTAAGAATTTCCGGCCCGCTGTCCTTGGGATCAACCAACTAAGGATAAAATTGCTCTACAAAGCTGCATGGTCGCACTGTTTCTTCGCACGGTTTAAGTTTTTCGAGATTTAGATCCGCCTTTGCCATAACTTGATAACTAGGTTCTATACCTCTTTCATGTTATTAAGAATTTCCGGCCCGCTGTCCTTGGGATCAACCAATTAAGGATAAAATTGCTCTACAAAGCTGCATGGTCGCACTGTTTCTTTGCTTTTTAGATAATTATTTATTTAGAACACAAGTCACAAATCAACATAATTTACATGTTGTCTGCTTGGCTGACTTCCCAATAGTTTTCCCACGTACAATAGTGCAACCTTATCTGTCCCGATCACATGATTTAATTAACCAACCAACCAATCAAATAAATTAATTTAGAAGACAAATATCTATTGTTTCCTACAGAAGGATACTGTGCATCTTTGCGTGTAGCTCGTCGGAGTAAACTGCGGTTTCATCCTATGCGAATGCGTAATGCTTCATATTAGCATTAAGTGCACTTTGCTTGCGTCAGCTAAAAGCACATTTAGTCGGAAGGGAGAGAATTTTCATCAGCATATAACCACAATATAATGCTGTACAATAGTCAATACATTTATCATGTATGTAATATTGCCATTACCATCCAAGAGATGCCTGGGGGAAGGCACTACGTGTATTCACTCGCAGAATTTCACGTACAATTTATTATTCTAGTTTTAAATATAATCTGCTTACCAAAGTCAGCAATTTGTTCTTTCCTACACCGCAAAAAACGACAACATCGTAAAAACGTTTTATACTCAGCGCTTGTGGCGAAGTATAATTCTAGCAAACATATTAGGAATACAGTATTGCCAGGGTGGTGACAATAGGACTATAGGGCGAATTGTGCAAAATTATGCCATTTCGGGCCAGAAGGCTGTTGATTTTATAGATGAATATTCAACGAAAACATTGTACAAATATGTAAATTTAATATAACAAGAACAAGGAACATAACTAGAACCTTTACAGGGAACATAACAAGAACGTTTTATATACGTAACATGCGCCTGCTATATGTGCGTTCGTCTAATAGGTAACTTATACTTTATATAATCATGCAATAATGTTGAGTGTCCATATTCAACACTCCCACTCACTCAGCATTTACTGCACTTGTACAAGTCCGAGTCTTGCTCGAAGACATTCAAACTGTCCCCGTGTTAAAGGTTTCGTGAAGTTATCAACAGTCATTTCTTGAGTAGGACAATACTTAAGTTCGATTTTTTTATCTTGTTCTTTCTCTCGCACAAAGTGGAATTTAATGTCAATATGTTTGGGGCGCTTGTGTAGAACAGAGTTTCTTGACATTGCGATTGTCGCTTGATTATTGCAGCTTGAATATCTAATTGTTCCTTTCAGGTAACGAAATACTTGCTTAACAGCGGTAAGGTGTGCTTCGTTTGGAGACGAGTTGAACTTTGCCAGAGTACCAACTGCGTGAGCGATGTCTGGTCGTGTTGCAATAGCCGCGTAAATTAAGCTTCCCACCATTGATTGATAAATAACCGGATCTACAGATTTGCTGATACCATCATCTTTGACCAACTTCACGTTCACATCCATTGGAGTTGATACAGGTTTATTTACAATCTTGTAAGTTGTACTTGTTTAATATCTTGTGGATGTACTGTCCTTGGTTTATTTGCAGAACACCGTCCAGTGATTTGATGTTTACTCCTAGACAGTAATGCAGTTTACCCATATCTTTCATCTTATAACGGGCTGCGAGTCACGCATTTAAATCGTAAACCATTTCTTGCTAGCTTTCGGTTAGAAGTATTAAGTCATCAACGTGTACAGCAACTACTGTAAGTTTACCATCGACTTTCCGAATAAACGCACATGGTTCGGCTGTACTTTGCTCAAATCCTTGGGATAGCATAAATTCAGTGAATGACTTGTTCCAGCATCGTTGACTCTGTTTCAGTCCATAAAGAGATTTCTTAAGATGGCATACGAGGTGTTCTTTTCCTTGGACAACATAACCTTCAGGCTGCTCCATATAAATATCTTCTTCAAGTGTCCCGTTCAGGAAAGCCGTGACAACATCCATTTGATGGACAAACATGTTGTTGAGCCAAGGCCAAGAGAGTTCGGATAGATGTAAACCAAACCACAGGAGAAAATCTTCCCATTTTCATCATGTTTGTCTTTAAATACCCATCTACAGTTAATTGCTTTTTCGTGGTGGCAATTCTACAAGTTCCCAAGTCTCATTTTCCATTAGGGATTTATATTCAGAATCAGAAGCTGTCTTCCAGTGTACACCATAGTCACTTTCGAGTGCTTTCCTCAATGTTGTCGGTTCGTCGACTTCTGTTACATCGAGGACTGTTTGCTTCGCTGTTGCAGCACTAGACAAAATAGACCACCTTTCCTTTCATCGCCATCTTTCTTCTTAGGACCAAGAAGCATAGTAATGGGTATATCGCCAGTGCCAAGAGCGCGAACAGATCGGCTATATCTAAGAGCAACTAAATCTGGCTCTGAAAATTCTTGGTAGTTCACCAGTAGACTAAAATTTGACGTCATGTGTCACGCACCAAAATCGATAATCCAACAATCATAATCTTTTGCAACATTCAATCCAACAGCAAAAACATTGGCACCACACCCATCATTCTTACCATCGTCCCCATCAGCAGGAGAAGCATTATGCTTTGATTTATCAAATTTCCCTTGATTTTCATTTCGTCTATGCTGTTTCTTCCTCCTGTTCTGAGCGCAATTTCGAATAAGGTGACCTTCCTTGCCACATCCATAACACTTGAGAAGTTTTCGATCAGACTTGTTGTGTTGTGACGCAGATTGGCCATCACTACCTCCACTACCACTAGCATGCATTGCTTTCACTTTGCTTGCGTTTTTCTTCTTCATTTAACAATGCTGCATACAGTTGACCCGGGTTTAATTCATCTCCTTAAAAGGCGAGCTTGAAAGTAGAGCGACTATGTGTTCATCCTCACGTATTGAAGCTTTGATATAGCAGATAGTTGATCAGTGATCACTTTCATTTTTCAAAAGTCGTCATCAAGAGGGTCTGATTCTTTTATTTTTAAGGATAAAAATCTTTGCTTTTTTAGATACAGCTTGTTCGCAATCGTATCTCGATCAAATCGATTTTTCAACGTGTCTCATATTTGTTTTGGAGTGTGGCGTTCGGTTTTGAAGTAGATAAGATCGGATTTAATAGACGTAACTGTAAGACCTTTTGTCTTCTTTGAGCTTTTTCAAACGACGCTTCTGCCCCGGAACTGTTTTCCGATGTACTTGGGCGAGTCAACGTTCCATCAAAATTGACCGTACAGTTCCCTAGCTCCCCAAATTGCCGTCATCTGATACCTCCATATTTGCCAATTTCTCGCACCTTCAAATTTATCGATCGCTAATTTGTCTTCCTGGGCCAATTTTGTAAAATATACACGACAATAACTCAATATACAGTTACCTCACAGTTTGGCGATGTCTGGGCCTATAACCTGTTGATTTTATGGATAAATCTCCAACGAAAATATCGCACAAATATGTAGATTTAATATTCTTTTACAGGGAATATAACAAGGACGTTTAATATACGTAACATGCGCCTGCTATATGTGCGTCCGTCTAATAGATAACTTATGCTTTGTATAATTATTCAATAATGTTGAGTTTCCATATTCAACAAAGGCGGTACAGCCAATGTGCGGCGGATTTATTGCCAGGAAATACCATCGAGTGAATGGGCATGCATGGTAGAAGACATTCGTAATGCGTCATGGGCGAGCTCGCATACAGACATCTAACATTCTGTCTCTAGTGAACCTACGATGATTATCCGCGAATGACGAAATAAGTCAGCATTAACTTGCTAATGCATGTTTTTATTTTTATACACTGTTGTTAACGCGTGAAATTAAAACAATTAAGTGACTTCTGCGATGATGTTGAGAGAGTGAAGGAATATTTTGTGTGTTCCTTTTGTTAGTGATTGTTCTTGATTAATAATCTGGCCAAAATTTAAAATGCACTGGGGCGGCTCTAGTGTTGGCAGGGCCGTAACTAAAACGATAATTGGGGGGGGGGTGTTTATTCATATATTCAGTTCTGCCCGACGGATTTCTTTTTTAAGTGCAATTGCTCACAATGGAAATCCGTCGGGCAGAACTGAATATAAGAATAAACACCCTCCCCCCCCCAATTATCGTTCTAGTTATGGCCCTGAGTGTTGGTGTAAGCTGAGCGCAGTAAAACACGACCACTGAATGTGCTTATTATCCACCGTAATACGTTTTCTTCACATGACAAAATATTGCGATAAAAATCTAACAAATGGACGAAAAAAATTGCTAAGGTTTCATTGCTATAAGTAACCATGTTTCCTTCACGAAAACGTAAAATTTCATTTCATAAGTTCTTTAAACGTTTTCTATTGTTTGTGAAGATGCAAATATGTGACGTAATTTTTATTTTATTACACTGGCTGAAAGGACCAGTGCTTTAAAATGCCTATAATTTTATAGCGATCTCACAAGAATACCCACCTACGTTCATGTTATTGGCTCGTGTCTAAATGGCTGCCGTTTTACGAGCGGCCTCATTTAGTGTCAAATTCGCGAATACGAGAATACTAGATATAGTGACAACAATGAATTGTTGAACAAAATGGAGTTGTTTATAAGAACGAGTACACTCCCTTTTCCTTTTTTCTAACTAGGAATGATGCTGACGTTTATAACGCTGAATATAATTGTATGATTGTCATTACAGCTGTCATTTGTCTCTCTGTCTTTCTTTATAATTTTAAAAAAGTTATTCGCCGAAGCAAAGCCATTATCCGTGAATAGCGAAGTCAAGGTTTTCCATTCGAGCGCTGCTTTGAAATTGTACGCTAACCTACTACCTGTTATACTAAGAATGAATGTTTATGAGTGCAATGATAAGAATATTTTCAAGAGGTTAAAGAGGGAATGTTCCATTCAAAGAGGCGAAGACGAGCTTATATGAACATTCCATCTCAACCTTAAGAGGGATTTTTACCCTCGGTAGGACATTGATTCCATCTTTCACCGAATGAAAATATTCTTTTTTATTACATCCAAAACACTTTGGTAAATTTGTCTAAATACACACATCTTTAATATATTTCAGGACCGAGTGAAACAATGAATCCGGTAGACGCAAAGGCTAATTATTCAAGAGTATGTCAACTATTGGTAAACAAAGGTAGCGTTGCTTTGAGGAATGTTTTGCATTCAAAACATCCGCCTTCTACACTAGCTTCTGTGTTAAATACTAACAAACCGGCTTTGACGAAGCTACGATACAGAGTCATCAAAAATCCGCAATGGGATTTACTCTTTCCAACTTCTGGTGCACCAGATTCAACCAACTTCGATATAACATTATTGACAATTTTACTGCGAAATGTTTGTCGACTCTCTCCCCCAACAGCTGGATGGGACGTTTTTCCTGCAGGAAGTGATGTCTCGGTATCTGCAGATATTGTGAGGATGAAAATGTTCAGAAATGATATCTACGGTCATATCGCAAGCGCTCAATTTGACGACACCCGATTTCGCGCATTGTGGCAGGATATTTCAAAACCTTTGTTACGGTTGGGGATTTCACAAAACGATATTGATGAATTGAAAGATTGCCCTCTTAGTCTCGAAGAAGAGATTTATATTGAAGAATTAAAAAAATGGAAAGAACTTGACGATGATGTTTTGTTGAAAATGAGGGATTTGGAGGGGAAAATGGATACGTTGAAAGGAAATGTGGAAAATGTTGAAGACAAAGTAGACCGCGTGGAAGAGAAAGTTGATATTGTAGAAGAGAAGTTGGACAATGTTGAAGTGAAAGTGGTTAACGTAGACCATAAAGTTGTCGCGCTAGGAAAAGTTATTGAAAATGCTACACCGTCGCAAGTCGACAGATTAGCAAGGTTTGATTTCACTGGAAAGATTAACAGCCTTTGCCAAAAATTCTATGATGGCACTAGACAATGGTTATTTGACGAGTTATATCAATCGTTCCTTATTAACGAGTCTCAAGTTGTTATCCTCACTGCATCTCCTGGATTTGGAAAGAGTGTTCTATTGGCAAAAATCTGTGAGATGTATAAACAAAGTGATCAACTCGCCGCCAGCCATTTCTGTGACTTCAGAAATTCTGATTCCAGTAATCCTCACAAGATTCTCCAGTCACTCGCCAGTCAAATGTGCGAAAATGTTGAAGGCTTCAGGGAAAAACTGGCGGAAGTTCTTCGTCGTGAACATTCTAGCGAAACTCTGGCAGATGCATTTCGTGTCCTGTTAAACGATCCACTACAGGCTCTTTCGCAAAATGAGGAAATGTTCATCGTTGTTGATGCTTTGGACGAGAGCAAAACCGATGCAAAAAATGAATTTTTGGAGTTAATATCGGAGAAATTTTCCGAATTGCCAAAGTGGATTAAGATATTAATTTCAAGTAGACCGGAGGGAAAAATACGAAAGAATGTTCCAGATAATAATCCATCTGAAAACTATTTGACGCATTTAGAAATCTATCCAAATCATCCACAGCACCGTCTTGACTTGATGCATTTTATTCAGAAAAGTTTGCCAACTCTTCAAAAGGATAAGCTTAAGTTACTTGCTGACATATGTCAGGGTTCATTTCTGTACGCATATTTTGTATTGAGGGAAAATTTGGGTGAAGGAATTGATCCCACTGCCCCCAAAGGTATCTCCGGATTTTATGATAAGCAGTTCAAACGTTTAAGAACAGGTCTCCGACGATTTAAGCCAAATGCCTGGTCATCTATCTTAAAGAGTTTTATAAATGTTATTGCAACTTCAAGGGAGCCCCTTCCAATTAGGATGTTTTTCTTATGCATAGGTGTATCTGAAGAAGAGTATGAAACACGCGAGATTATTTTCGACGTAATGTCTGAAATTCTTCCAGTTTACGATGGTTCCCTTACTGTGTATCATAAGTCATTATGGGACTGGCTCGCGTTAGATGGGTACGAAGAGCATGCTTTTGTCGCAGATATAGCAGATGGCAATAAACGTCTCTGGTGTGCTTGTAAACGTGTATACAGTGAAATACAATCATTAAAGTCTGTGTCAGATGTTAAAATGACCCCTGCGGTAATGTACTCTTTGAAATACGGTGCAAACTATTTACTGACTTACCCTGATGATATTGACGATATTCACTGGCTGGTGAGTGTAAGGATAAATTATTTAAAAATCAAATTCTGTACCGATGATTTGATTTTAAAGCTCGATTTTCGTGGTATTGTGGAGGTCTATAAATCAAAATCGCCCGACTTTTCCGATGATCTATTTCGAGGAATTATTCAACTCCATTCCTTCGCTAAAAGGGTTGCGGATCTTAAAACCAATGGAATTTTTTTACATACAACTTTTAGGCTAACTTCACAAAAAGCTTCTCTTATTGTTTATTTGCAATTTTTAGCAAGTGAATACTCTGATGTTCAAAGTAATAGCAGCCCTCGTTGTAAATCCGAAACTATAGATATTTTAAATGAGACCACAGAGGTTTGGGTAGAGCCATTGAAAAACAGAATTAATTCCAGCTTTGAAGTAGTTTCCCATACGATTATGAGAAATCCCGGGGGTCTTTTAATGAATACCTGTATTATGGAATTGTCACCAGACGAAAAATTGCTTGCAGTTGTAGTTGACTATCAAGTGCAAGTTTTCAAATTACCTCGTCTCGAAATTTATTTAAAGGTAAAACTTGCTGCCGTGCGTTCTTTGCCTAGATTTGTTAAGTTTTCTCCAGATTCTTCTTTCATTTTATGTGATTCTGTCAGGTCTTGTGTTTCCTTTAAAGAACAAAAAGAAGTGCCATTTTTTCCTGATGGGCCTAAGGAATGTTTGTATTGTTCATTTTCCTCATGTGGAACAAAACTCGTTTCATCTGAACAGAATTATATTAAAATGTGGGATGTAGAAAGGAAAACTTTGTTAGTAGAAGTTCAGACTAAGGTTGACATAGAGTATTGCTTCTTTACTAATTGCGGTTCGTTTATTCTTGCTCGACCATGGGACGATGCATTCAATGTTGAGACGCTCATGAATTTTAACGATTTTGTTGTCTTGCAATCTGTCACGTTAGAAAAGATGAATAACATTTCTGAAATTTGTGTTAGCCGTTGCTTGACACACGAAAGTTGTTATCAATTGTTTGCGCCCCTTCCAAGGGGTTTTAGTCTGTTGAATAAAACATTTCGAATTTGTCATTTTCACTTGCCGACTGGTGAGATAGTTCTTATTGCTAATAAACATTGTACAGACCCCTTTGTATGGAAGGAGAAAAGTTGTGTTGCATTCTCAAATTCCTTCCCTAGTTCCTCGGAGTTACTAGTGTATGACTATGTAAATGAAGAAATCATTGAGTTGTTTCATATTGACCTTTTTCCAGGTGGCACGTCTATTGGTTACATGTTCAAAATCGCTGAGGTAAATTTCCTTGTTCAATTAAATTCAAGAGATATATTTATTTTGTCGTTGAAACCTTCTACAAAATCTTCCACATTTACTTTTGTCGAAATGCCAGAACTCAAATGTTGCGCAATATCTCCAACTAAACTGCATTTAGCCCGCTGTTACCAGAATTGTGTTGTGGAAATCACAAGTATCGATAGTAGAAAAATTTTACAGACTGTTGCCCTGAAACAACAACCGGAGGCTTGCTGGTGGTCTCAGTCGTATTTTTGGGTAGTTTGTAGGTGTTTTGTGGTCAAATTCCCTTGCGAGTGGGCCAAAACTAAAGTCTTGGGATATGAAAAAGAAGAATTTGTTATAGAATATGATAAAGTTCTTAAATTTGATCAAGGTGTTCTCGTCATACGACTTCCTGGGAATGTAAAAATTTCCATTCTAAAACTCGTTAACGAAAATCTTTGTCGCCAAGAAATACCTGACTCACATTTTGATGCTTCTTCAGTGGCAATAAGTTCAGATGGGTGTGCAGTTCTGTTGTATCGAGAATCCAGCTCAGATTATCAAGTGTGGGAAAAAACAGGAATCGATGGGAATAGATGGAAGTTACTCTCAAATGGTAAATTTGAAAATTTCTATGCAATAAAATGGTTCTGTTTAACTGGAAATGAGGGTTCTCGAAGTTCTTTATGGCTAATGTATATTTCTTCATCGGACTTTCAAGATAACTTATATGAACAACTTCGTTTATCTTGTATTGATTTCCCAACTAAAAAGATTGCTCGTTTGCTTGACATTCCTCTGCCAATTTTCGTCGGTGACAACGATGTCATGTATGTTGATACAAACTTTCTTGCTATTATTTATGGTAGATTTTTATATTACATTGATGTATTTAAGGGTGCTATTATTGCTGAATTTTTCGTAGGAGGGACTGGTCCACGTAGGTCTCACTTTTACCTTTCTTCGCGAGGTATACTTCTCTCGGTTGGTAATAATGACATTAAATATTTCAAGATACATAATATTGAAAGGTTGGTGGAGTTGTCGAAGGAAATTAGGTTGAAATCCTTACCAGAAATTTTGAAGAGTTTGCCAGTTTTATGAACAAAGTAATTAAGAATACCAGTTATACATATTATAGTGATTATAAGGACTAGATTATAAGGACAGTATTGGTTTAAATTTACATCAAGCTATTATTTGGATTTCATTTAAACTCGTATCAATAGCATGCAATAACTTTATAATCTATAAATAATAATCAAAATTACTGCCATTGAGCCCTAATTTTTCATGACATGCACAGCCGCTAAAGTTGGGAAAACTAATAATGACTGTTATCTTAATTGATCGTCTTAATAACGTAAGGCCCTGTTAAACGGTGCAATTTTTCTTCCAACTTGCAATGCAGTTGTTCTTTTTAGAGATGTAGCCAAATTTGGCAACTACCGAACTTTTGTCTTTATTACACTCCTTGGCGCTTCTTAGACTAACATTTTAAAGACTCTTCGCTAATTTACATCTCTTAAAAGTAGAATTGCATTGCAAGTTGCAAGGTTGCACCGTGTAACATGGCCTTTAAGTTGCAAATATTTAAACATGTTGAAGCATCAAGGGGGCATGCATAAATTATGCAGTATTAACGTCTGACCTAATGTGTTCGTGCTTCGCGCCTAATTTCTTTACCACAAGTTGAGGGTTTATTTAGAGGCTTCAATCGTTTTCAATGCAATGTGGTGACCTGTTTCAGAAAGCATGCTCGTTTGAACAATGTTAACGAAAAAGATCCTTAAAAATAAAAGCAAATTTTGAGGATTTAATTTTCAAAAACCTTTACTAAGTAACTTTTTACTTTACTACAAAAGAAACGTGTTTATCGTTGAATGCGGTGAAAATTGATTTTTATTGTCAAAATTATTCTCGTTTATTTACACTTGTGCTTGCCAAATATTAATCACCTTAAAAATAAAGCTTTAATAAAACTATTTGGAACAAACAATTCCGTACAGCTTAAACTATAGAAATGCTAAATTTTATTATATGGGTGTCGGGAATGGTGTTAATTGAACTATTCATTATTAAAAAAATGCATGTGATAATAATTATGCAGTGTGTTATGTGTTCCTAACTGTATAGTCCATTAGCGGTTCAGGTTTAGGCAGAATAAATTACATGGCTTTATTTTAAGTTCAAAGAACATTATTAATAACGCGGTATTGGTAACTGATTTTTAAAACAACAGTTTAAAAAAAATTTACCATGGTAAACAAGACGCCGACTGAGCATTAAACTCGAGTCGTTAGAATACTGTTACGTGGCAAAAAAACTCGCGAGACTTAAGGTAATTATTCTGCCTTACCCTGGGTCCGCCAGTGATAAATGGCTGTCCGTGTCAAAAAAAAACAAGGTGTCCTACAACTCGGATCTTGCCAGCTACATTATCTCTAATGAATGTTTTTGTGATTAAGCGTAGTTTTTGTGTAGTCGTTGTTGTCTAGAACGCAGACCAAAATAGCCAATGTAATACAGTATCAGTTAGATTTAATTCAGTTAAAAGCGTAATAGGTCCAAAGCAATTCACATCGAAAAAAATAGTTGTGAAATAAATAGAAAATTAAACATGATCCTTATTTTCACATGAAACAGGTTCATTTATGCTGATATATGATGATATCACATTTATGCAGTTCAGTGAAGTGTAATAAAACCTGGAACGATAAATCATATAGTTCAGCTGCATGGGGCCGGTTGTTGAAAGCTATAGGTTAGCGCTAACCCTGGGTTAAATTATATTCAAGAGTTTTAGTTATGTGCTTCTGAAGCACTGTTCGTTTTAAAACGTTTTGAAAATGTTATTTCTATCCGTCCTGAAATTGTTTATTAAAAATTATTATCAACTTTGTAAATAAGAGATTAAAAAATTGATGCAAAGATTTGCTTTAACCATCCAGCTTTTGAAAAACCGGCCCCAGCACTACAGGATGTCTCAAAAAAAACCGAAAACTATTAAAATAACCTATAACAGTGTAATGGTTAGAGTTTGAATACTAAAGCACTCGAAAAACACGCAGGATAATATCACAATAAACACTCGTTGTTCCGCGGTCAGCTGTACCATTTTCTTTCGAAGCAATAAAAGGCTAATTTAAGTTTAATCATATTCACAATTTCAAATTTTTCGTATTTAGCATTTTATAAGTTGCTTTAAATCCCCACGAACTAAAATTCGTGAACACGGCATTCAAATTTTAGCAATGAGTGATTTCAATAGTTCCGTTTTTTTGAGACACCACTTCTTGGATGCCTAAACATCAAGCAAAAAATTGAGTTTTTGACTCTGTTGCTTGTTCAATTTTTTACTGCAAATTAGAAAATCAGTTTATTTTGCATATTTAAACGTTTCCAGATATTTAGGTTTTAAGCCGGTCACAAACGTTCAAAAAACACCTTTAGGCATCAAAGATGGCGGTATAGTTTTCGTTCCAGGTTTTACTACAGTTTTCTGATCCAGTTAATATGAAATGGTGGGAAACGCCTTGGTCTGGTTGTCAAATGAAAATCCATTTTTCGTTTGAAACTTTCCATATCTCTTGACATAATTATATTTTATCTTGTTTTAAATTTATGTCCCAGCTGTAGTTTTTTATCTAAATATATAATCATAAAAACTGAAAGGAAATATATAATACTGAAGAATAGTTTGCTATTTCGAACTTTCTAAACGCAAGATTACCTAGATACCATGTAACTAGACAACATATAGCTTCTATTTGAAATTACATTACATGTTGTAATTTTTAGGATTATTTAGCTCAGATGACCAAGGTTGTTGTGGATATCAGATTTGGCTGCATACTTTATAATTAATATAAATTCTGCAACCAGCGTTCTCACTTTTAATGGAATTTCCTTAGAGAAGCTTGACTTTATCGAGGGAGGGGTGAAATATTTGATACTAGAATTGCTATCACTACTAAATGCTGACTTCGCTCATGAATCAACCTAATCAATATACCCATCCCATCCAGTCAATGTATTAATTTTCACCCATCTCACCCAAATGAATCCCATTCAATGAACCAATCAGCACACCCCAATCCATCCCATCCAATGAATTTGGCCATTCCAATCCATCCCATATAATCAATCCGCGTGGATTGCATCGCAACCCATGTAATCAATCCGTTCAAATCCATCTCATCCAATTAACAAATTCCACCAATCTATTCTTCCCAAATAATCGTCCCAATCGATCGCAGACGATTTATTCATTTATCATAAACCACGTTATAGAATCTATCCCAACTGATTCCACTAATCAATCTATCCTTTCCAATCCTAACTGGCATACCCCAATTGCACCGCAATACAGGGTGTTTAAAAAAAGGTAATCCAACTTCAACACGCTATTGTACGTGAACTACTCAGTCTATGGACGAATTTTTTTCACATTCGGAAAGATCATGCTTTTAGCTATCGGATGACATGTTTTAGTACTAAATGGTGAAAAAGTGAAGTGAGCACATATGAGGTTGATAAAAAATGTTAGTCGCAATCGCATATTTTCACCTTTGAGCCTAATTAAAGCAGTGCATAACAAAAGAAAAAAAACAATCACGAACATGTCACAGCTTGCACTGGTTTTATGCCGCATTGCTTGGAATGTTCTCATGATGTGATTTATTCCTACAGTCCTACTTAATATGCATATGCGGGTATTTTATTCAAAAGCTAAATTATTCAATTAAGTCCCAAAGAGAGTTAATTTTCAATGGTTTTAGTCCCAACTCTCAGATGTGAAAATATGCGATTTGACTAACACTTTTTAGCAGCCTCCAATTTGCTCATTTCTTCACCATTTGGTATATCAAAAACATGTCATTCGATAGTTAAAAGCCTAACCTTCGGAATGTGAACAAAAATCGTTAATAGAATGAGTGGTTTACGTAAAATAGCGCAAGACAATAATATACAAAATTATTCTGGAATTTTAACGCCTCTGACTACTTAAAGGAAGAAATTGAAAGAATACAAAAACGTGGCCTACGTATATAATCTGTCCAGACGTATCTTATCGTTTGGCCTTACAAGCCTGTGAATTATCGTCACTCTCCTATGTCAGTCGTATTTTAATAAACTGCCTAATCCAGAAAACAAGATGTTCAGTCTTATTCCGAATAGACGGGAAGATAGACGTAATTATAATTTACGTAATGATCAACACATGCATTGATCTAATTAATTGTAGAACTAGTAGACTTCGTAATTTGTTAATATTGTAGTCCATAATATTATATCGTTTTAATATCTACTAAACTTGTAACAAGTCCTCTGCAATTCAGCTTGTTAGCTGCCTCTCAGACTTGGTTTTTAAATAAAACTCTAAACTCTTACACTTGCGATTTTTGCTGCGATTTTTCCCTTTGGATAGATGTGAATGAGCAATAAGTTACGAATGCTCTGATGTATAAGAACTCTTATTTAAACATAAGTAACTAATTCACTCGTTCACATCTATCAAAAGAAGAAAATCGCAACAAGAACTGCAAGTGTAAATGGGCCTTTTGTTCAGTAAATGAGCCGAATTTATGCAAATAAATTATACATAAATTAAGACAACAATATAGTTTTATATCTATATGCCAATATTGGTTTGGCTCATGTGTAACAAGCGGCGACTAAATGAGACCTCATATGCGAATTACTGTCTTTACACAGTTCTTTCACACCCCTTGTTGTGTTTAAGCATGCAAATTCCAGAAGAACAGCCAATATGGACCGGTTGTACGAAAGCCTGATAGCGCTATCCACCGGAAATTGTTTTTTCAATCGTTTTAAAATCGCCCGTTGTTTGCTATAACTTTGATTACCAATTAGTATTCCTAAATTGAGGATCCTCTTTATTTTTCCTTGATCCCAAAGATAAAATTTTATAGCTTTTCGAGCCTTAATTTAGAACGGTTGAAAAAATCACTATCTGATGGATAGCACTTTCCGGCGTTCGTACAACCGGCCCCACATCAATAATAGACCTTTGAGGTGCTTACGTCATGTCGGTCTCGAACAGTGAATCGCAATGCAATCTGGGAAACAAGTGGGACAAAATTGTATAGATAGAAAACTGTGTGACGTAAGCACTTCAGAAGGCTATTATGACGCGAGGCGGCTTTTCAACACATCCACGTACTGTAATTACTCCAATAAACGCCTCTCTCGAATAAACGCCTCCGTCGAATAAACGCCGGCCTCGAATTAACGCCGCGACCTTTTCGTCATTGCGGCGTTTATTCGAAGCATTTATTTATAACCACTGTAAGAAATTCAAGTATCTATCTTTACAAAAAAAGACAACATTGAATCTAAACCAGTCGTGGAAATTTATTTTTCTCAATTTGAATGTTATTCAGTTCAACGTGGCTATACTTCATAGCTTCGCTGCTTAGCCCTCTTTCTAAAACTTCTGCGATGCGTAATTCCGTGGTAACAGCCGAGAATCTTGCCGGTACCACTAGATTGTATTGGTTAAATTGGCGTTTAAATTACACAATAAATCCAGAGTTGTTACGAGTTTGCAATAAACGCCTCCCTTGAATAAACGCCGCCCTCGAATAAACGCCGCATCTTAATTGCTAAAAATTTAATAAACGCCGCAGCGTTTATTCGAGTAATTACGGTATTTGCATATATAATAACGCTGGTGACTAACGTCAGTGAAGAAGGTAAATTATATTTAATCTCCTACGTACGCAAACGAGCATTCGAGCGGAATTGGATTACGCAACTTTATAAGGCGAATAAAACTCAATACATAGCCTAAAAGTGCTCCTGTACACTACATCGGCAACGTTAAAGGTAAATTCTTGGACTTAATTTACACTGATTGTAAATTGTTTACAAGGGTTTAAATCGCGTGCATGGTTTCACGGGCACGCATGCATGTTATTCAAAGATAAAATACAATAAACTTGGTTGACTTCATATTATTTTATTCTGCACTAAAAATTTGTTTCGTATAACAAACAGAGCTTGCCACACTCATCAGGTGAATTTAAATGTCGCGCTATATAGTTGCCATGGTTGACGAAAAACGTATTGCATAATTTTTTATATTTATACATATACGTATTGTATTAGGTTACATTACTTAAGAGAAATTTATTTCTATGTTTGCATTTTGATAAAAGTTCGCTTCTTCAATTCAGGGAACGAAGTTCAGGGTAGTAGATTATCATGAATTTTTCGTGAGTACAAAGTTTCATAATGCGCCAGCTTATCACATAATTGACCTTTGACTCTTTTAGTTTCCATATATAATTTCCTGCCGTGTTTCAACATTGTCTACGAATTCCAATTGTTACCTAATGAGTATATATAGGCTAAATTCACGACATTCTTTCCGAGCAACATTGGTGATTTAACCATTATACTCCTGCCCCTCGAAGCGCAATGAACATTACTTTAACTGTGTCATGTCATGTTGTATTGACGTTTTATTCTGTCACATTTAATTAATGCTTTCCAGCTCTCATCTAATGGGGACTATAAAGGATAATCGTATCAGCAATGGTATTCAGGGGGTGGATCCAGCACTAGCGCACTAATTTGCATGACATAAGAAAACTGCTAGAAATAACCACTTTGTTCTGTAATGCAAAATAGCGCACTAGCGCTGGATCCACCCCTGATGGTATTGGAATGGATTACCTCATTTGGTTGTATATTCTAGAAAAGTTACCAGTAACAATCACTTGTTGTATATTGTTGTCAGTAATTATATGTAGTAATGTGTTAATGTGTTAATATGTATGTAGTTAATGTGTATACAAATAAAGCCAGTTTTCCACTAGCGATATTTTTCTCCTTTTCAGCTTGCATGCATATTAACCATTTCAGGTGCAACCTCGTGCCCAGGGTCTTTTACTGGTATACTTACGCTCCATGGCCCCTGAGTACGAGGCTATTTCAGTTGTTGTGACCATGGAATAACCAATGAAATTTAACCATTTCGGACCATGTGACTTGAAATGGTCAATTCGCAAACAAGTTGAAAAGATCTATTTGCTGCAAATAGATGCAGTTGAGAGCTCTGAAACAAAAGTAAAATATCGCTTCGCGCAAAAATTATCGCCAGTGAAAAACCGGCTTAACGTTCGCTATGTCTTAAAACGCAGATGTCGTACACAAGACGTGAAAACCTCAAAGCCGTGAAAACGTATGGAACTTTCATACTTCCTTAAATATTTGTATCTTTCTAGCGACCCATTGTATTGGTAGCCGCTATCTTCGTGTTGCCGTCCTGTATCCTTTAAAGATCCTTAACCTGCTTGCCGCACGCGGATACATGTACGCTTAGCGTACCTATTTATTGCCAGCTGTTCACATTCATTTAACATTTCGATGTATAAAGCTGGTACCTCGTCAGTTTATACAATTAGATGAGAGTCCTTGACATTATTACAACAAACAATTTGACCTTTGCAAGCAATCTGAAACCGTCGAAACGCGTCCTTAATTAAATATCAAGCTCGCCTCAGATGCTCTTGTACAGTGATTCGCCGCAAGTAAAGGTATATTTGCAATTTTCCACTTACATTAAACTGATTCTAGATATTTTGCGATGTTACTAACAACGTTTAGGTATATTTGCTCACTGGTTAAAAATAATCGTCGACGAACACTATAATGCCGTGCAAACGGCATGAAAAATCGTTCTAGACTGTCCATTTATCTCGAGCACCGTATTTCGGATACTCTCAAACCTTCATATATAATATATCACGCCACTAATATATTTATATAGCATCACATAAATGCCATTTCGCGGCATTGCCTATTCGAAATTCATAGTATAGAGTGCATATGTAAAGATATAATTAACAGTGGTATCTTCTCGTAAAGAAAAACAAATTCCGAATAATTAGTACATCTTTAGAATCAAAATAGGAAGCAAGCAAGACACAGGCTGAGACTGTTAATATTCGAATTTTTTTAAAAATCATCTTCAGACAGAATGAAATAAAATACTTCACAACGCATATGTATACAACAAAGAGAGAAAGCGCGCGTACGTGTAATCCTAGACAATTACAAAACAGGCATGCATGCGTTATCGGGCGGTCAAGCGTAAAGGACGTCCAGATGCTCGTTTATGTTTTACACAGTAAACAGTAAAATGATGCTCAGACGTTTGGTATTTAGTTTATTTTAATGTGCTTTTGTTGATCGCACTTAATGCCAAAACAAACTCGAGTAATGTTGAAACTTCAGTGAATAGACGCAGGCACGTCTCGACAGCCATAGTCATATATCAACAAGATGCCCGCTAGGCATTAAACTCGCATTGCTTGAGTCGAGCTAGGGCTATGAAAAAAAAGACGCTTACTCAGGCGTGTGTTTGGGCTTGCCATAGTTGTTCAGCTATGCAATGGAACGGGCGTGAAAATGGGGAGAGCATTGGATAAATTTGATTGCGCTGTGATCGCCTGCATCCTAATTCAAATATAACTTTGGATTTCAGAACGCGGGTTAGCTTTGTGATCTTCGTAACTTGATTGATTAGTGAGTTTAATGACTCAGCAGTGCAGCATGCACGTTAGCTTAGCAACCACGCCTGCGTAGCTCGTGGCTTGCAGGTCAGCGCACCTTATCGCACCTTGCGGGTCGCGAAATTCTCGACCATAAAAATATTAATAAGAACGCTTCCCATTTTAACAACTCGCTTGCGCATTGCACAATGCGGGTTAATAACGATACGTTCGCTGTACTAAAGATGTACGCGTGGTATGCACTATGCAGGGCAATAGCGACATACCAGAATTTCGCTTAAACTTGAAAAATGTTTAATTAAAGGCTGTTTACGTGATCCCGCTAAGCAGAGATTCAAATTTCAACGAAGCACTAGATGACTTGGAGGCATTGAAATTATCATAAGAATATATGTAACATTATATATATGCTGGTAGTGATTTAATCATCCCGACAATAACATGTTCTGCTTCACAAATACTAATTTTAATACCTTAATATAATCTTACGTCTATAGTTGAATCTAGGCCGGGTAACCGGGTAACCTGTTCATATAGATATTTGCGTCGTCATCGGCGAATACCATGGTAATGGGACCATCATATCAATTGTATAATTTCATTTTGAGGTTTTCAACCTCATCTGATAATTAAAATATCTTTTTACTTTATATAATGCTCTAGGATTTGCGTAGCTACGGTCTTTTCCTACTGTACTTGCAGTTGTGCCGAAAATTAGTTTGTAATTATGCCAATCATTTTGGTTCTTTACACTAGCCGAATCCCTTAATTGAGGGGAGCGAGAGAGAGAGGAAGAATACCCTGGTAATACTGAAATCACTCGCAATTGTTAACGCTACTTGATGTTGCTATGCCTGATAGTATTGATGAGATCAATAAGAAACTTCAGCATATTTGTTCGAAACTGGACATCTCGTTTATTGACAAAATACGACTATAGATGACACTAGCTTAAATGGCAGTAAGCTCCATTTTAACGCGAAGGGCTCCACTTCATTAAATTTCTCACTGGGGGCAGTGCATCAACTCCTACAAGAAAACGAAGGCAAAACCATGAGGATTTCCAGCGAACAATAATTCAGAAACTTTGAGATCTGTTAAAGATAATTGTCCCTTCAGATAAGAGCAGTTGGATCCGCAGAAGAAAATAACATCTGATTAAATGCATTGCCGGACTCTACCAGCTGCTTAATCTGCGGAGTCTATATGAGCCAAATGGTAAACGGTGTGACCCCATTACAGGGTAACTCTAATAATTTATTTCATGAGTTGGAAATTTCTAAAGGCTTACGTACGATTAGCGCTTACTTGAATATTAACAGCCTGTTGAAAAACATTGTCCAACTTCGTCTGATCATGCAAAACATGCCAATCGATATTCTTGCTGTAAATGAGACAAAATTAGATGAGTTGGTGCCTGCTGCTGAGATTGCAATCGCCCGTACTATCACATTCGCTGTGACCGATCTAGATCCCGCGGGGGAGTACTACTGAGTACTTTTCTAAGAAACAGCGAAAATAGAGAGGAAAAAGAATCATGGATGATTCGAACTGTGATATCTTAAAATCTCCTTCTGAATCTCATACTAAATTACAATTCCTCTCCTCACTTGACCAGCTCATTGATGAACCCACAAGGATAACCAGAAAAGAAACCCTAATTGATGTAATTCTAACAAATAAGGAGGAAAATCTTTCAAAGTCTGGTGTATGACAGCTTGGACTTTCTGATCACAGTTTGATTTCCGCTACTGTTCTAGAAAACAATGCCCTGCTAAATTTCTGGAAAACGTTAAATACATTCGTCATATTAAAAATTTCAATGTCAATTATTTTCTTGCGGATCTTTTACTGATGCCCTGGGAAAACCTCGCCCAATATGATAATCCTAATGTTTCCTGGCAAGTATTGAAATCTCTATGCCTCCAGGGCCCGGTTGTTCAAAAGCCGGTTAACGCTAACCCAGGGTTAAGAATGCCTAACCCAGGGTTAGATTTTAAACCTTGGTTGATTTGCGTTGCACAAAGCTCGGTTAGCGTTAACCCGGAGTTAAAATTGATAAAAGAATTAACCCTGCTAGCTAGGTGAGTTAACTTTTTAACCCTGGGTTAACTTCGATTCAAAATGGATGAATAAGGAGCTGAAACATGTAAACACGTATAATTCGTCATGAATTAAACACGTTTGAAAGGTTTTACGAATAATTTCGACAGCAAAGAATTATTTAAATTTGACTTCGTTCGGTTTCAGCTGATGTATTGATTTATTTATCTTCGCTTCAATGCAACACACGATAAATGCATACAACCGTACAAAATGAAATATCGTAATCGAAATATTTGTTTCGGATGCCAAAATTCGATTCTTTTGATTGTGAGCAAGTGGTAAGGCTACGTTTGTTCCTGAATTTTGAATAATCAAAGAATGCCTGAATTTTAAAATAGATTGTTTATAATTTGCTTAATTTTATTTCACATCGACATTGTTTATCATACAAAATGGCCTTTCATTTCGAATCTTTCCAAAATTCCATGCACGGAAATTGCGGTTCAAAACAACGTCCCTGCGACCCTGCCTATGCCTGCCCGTTTGTAGCAATATTTAATCCGTAGAAATGAATATGTATTCCGATAACTAATGTTGATGTTCACGTTAAAATATCTCTGATCCAAATAATTATTCGAATATTTTCAAAATATCATTTAAACTTTTTCAAAATATCGTTTAAACTTTTTCAAAATATCGTTTAAACGTTTTCAAAATATCGTTTAAACATTCTCAAAATATCGTTTGAACTTTTTCAAAATATCATTTAAACATTCTCAAAATATCGTTTAAACGTTTTCAAAATATCGTTTAAACATTCTCAAAATATCATTTAAACTTTTTCAAAATATCGTTTAAACTTTTTCAAAATATCATTTAAACATTCTCAAAATATCGTTTAAACGTTTTCAAAATATCGTTTAAACGTTTTCCAAATATCATTTAAAATTTTTCAAAAAAATATCACTTCAAAGTGGAAACATCCTGGAAGCACCACACCAAACTCCCGCCAAAACTTACATGTATGGTGTTCGGACGATTCTTTTTGCAAAGTAATACGAACGGAGAACGAAAAATATGAATGAAGAAGTAAAACAAAAGGTTGCCAAACTGTTGGATGAAGCTTCCAAGCTTTTAGTAAGTGCCGATTCACAACCAAGTAATATCAACAACCCTACTCCAAGAAGCAATGCCGCCTCCAGCGGATCCAGCACGGCCTCAAGTTCTTTATCATTTCCATTGGGGGAAACGCTTCAGAGAGCACGCGGTATGTTACAAGCAAGTTCTTCGTCTGGACTTTTCAGACGGTTGAATAGAACTGAAAGATTAAGAGCATCGTCTCCTTATCAGCAAAACCGACAGTCGAAAACTAAGCCATCTAAGCAAAAAGTGAAGAAAGCGATGGAGTTTTCATTGCTTAGATGTTGGGCGGATGATGATGAGGATGAACCGCATCATCTAAAGTGGGACTCAGTCCTGGCAAGTGGGATGCTGACCATTGATGAAGACGACAACGAAAAAAGCATCAGAAAGGCCATAAAAGATTCTCTTGCATCAAAAATTCCTGCCTTGGGTGATAATGATTTTGAGTTTGTCAAAATTAGACACAAGGCAATCACAAAGCTTGAGCTGGGACCAGGAACAGAATTTAATTACGCTGTAGTAAAAAAAATGGCTGGTCAAGGACAGATTTATGTCAAGGTGAAGCAAGGGTATGACTTCCTGTATGACTTAAATAAGGATGATGATGATGATGATGAGTTATTGAAGTCGTATGTGGAACCTGAAATTGAAATTATTAATGTTGATGCAACAAAGACAACAGAAAGTGCAGTTACCGCTCATGCTGGTACACAACAGCCTACAGAAAAAGATCCTGAGACTATAAAAACAATACAGCTCAACCAGGAAGAGACCTCACCCTGTGCCAATCTTGTTGATAACCTCATTGATGAAATAACAAGTCAAAGTCTGCATGACCCAGTTGAAATCTTACGTTTCTTACAAAAGAACTTAGTGAAAGGAAGAGTGTTAGATGTTGAAGATACATCAGAAATCCCAGAAGGTGAAACTAACTATATTTGTGTTGATAGACATAATATAATGGGATCCACATTTTCAGAGCTGGAGGCAATACAAGATTTTCATGTCACATTTGAAGTTGACTTTATTGGTGAAATGGCTAAAGACGTAGGAGGTCCTAGAAAAGAGTGGATTCGTTTAATGAATGCAGCCATGAAGGACAAGTACTTTGACAAAGGTCTCCGAGAGTATCTAGCTGATGATTACTATTATGTGGGCATCATGATTGGTATTGCTTTGCTCCAAAATGGCCAGCTGCCAACTTTTATGCCCCATGATGTCATTGAGAGTCTGGTCTCACCCAATTTAAATCCTTGCATTGCTAAATTAAGAGAGGGTCTAAATGTTTTTGGCCTTGCAAGGATAATGGAGAAGTTCCCCATCCTGCTCCATTTACTCAGACACAACAACCAGACATTATCAGCAAAGATGGTTCTTAAATTGTTGGCACCCACTTTCTCTGAAGAAGGATCATCCATGTATTTTAAGGAAAAGGCATTATATGCTTTGTTCGTGAAGTATGTAAGGCAGGTTGCTAGTGGTAGGAGAGAACCAATTACTTTAAGTTCTCTCTTAATTTTTGCAACCTGTGCTTCTGAGGAACCACCACTTGGATTTGTTGTTCATCCATCAATTACATTCACATGTAAGGATGAAGAGCCAATGAAGGTATGTACAGCATCTTCCAACAATATACAAATGGACAGGAATGTTATGAAGTACTCTTTGAATGCTTTAATTAATTGATTGGCAATGAACATGACAGTGCAAAATTATTGCATTAATTGTTACATCAGGAGTAAAGTTGTGAAGAGAAAAATAACAACTTGCTCTGTGATTCATGGTTTGTTAAATAATAACTTGTAAGCAGAACTTTATTTTCGTTTGTTTACACCTTCTGGCAAAAATTTGACTGTAAGATTTTTGTTTTTTTCTATGAACCACAAAGTAAATCAGTTAACTGATTTCTTTAAAAAACAATTTTAGGCAGTATTATGGGCTCCTTTTAGTCATATCAGTTAACCATCAAGCGTTAACTTTGCACATGAACTCCCATTAAACCAGACAAAAATAGTTTACATCCAAATTGCAGGAAAGAAAAGGGAAATAAGGCTCTGCTAAAACAGGCACCCTAATTTTCTTTAATTCTTTCTTTATTTTTAACAGGTATCAAGCAAATATGAATTTATACCAAAGGCTCACACCTGTACTAACAACATGGTCTTATCCATAGGATCAATCACGTCTGAGTTACCAAGTGAAGAAGAACTTTTTGAGGTTTTTGATTTTGCTTTTGCGAATGCTCACTTTGGAAATGCGTAACTGAGCGTACACTACTACCCAAACACATTGTTGTTTCATATTATTTGATAATACATCATTAACAATTTATCAATACTGTTAACAAAAAATCATGTGGGCAGTCAAAGTCAAAGAAGCCAATAGTTAAACTACACTTATGTTATTACTAAAGTTACCTCTTCCTGTTTATAGTATTACATGCCTAATTCATTAAGACCATTGATTAAGAATTGTATTCAACATATGCATTGATCTGAACATCACAGAAGTGAATTGAATGTCTTAGACTTTGAGTTTCCCACATGAATTTGATTTTAGGTTTCTAGTTCTTGTGTTAACATTTCAAAGGCATTGAAAGACCAACATTTTAGTTCTGTACATTGCAGAATTGATTGTCTGTTATATCATTTTTTCATGGTTTTCTATTTTTATTAGTTGTTAGATTTTAAGAAGTGATTTTTTAAACACACACTAATTTCTAATTATATAATGTTTCATAAACTTTGATAAAAGTTGGAAAAAACTTTGGAAAAAACAGGTTGTGTTCCTATTGGACAAAATTGCATTTAAATGTACTCCTCAAGATTTTGCACAACTAGAGCTAAAACATCAGCATAAACATCCATACCAGCTTTATCTGATGGTCTATTTAGATTAATTTGCTGCAAAATTGAATCAGATATTTCTCTCTCATTTATTATTTGCACTGGTTCAACAACAACACCTTCATCATCTGACAAAGGACGTGGGCCATCAGGATCTTCACCATAATGTTGATCAACAACTAAGTCATCCAATCCATGACTAAAGCGCAATGGATTGTTTTCATTTAGCATTCCATTTAGCCAGATCTGGTTAGGGCTCCAACCATTTTCAGTTGAAAGTCTATGGTTATTAAACATTGCAGCAAAATCATCTAAAGCAGTATTTATTCTACTTGTGAATACTTGGTGTAATGCAAACATATGGATTGGGTTTTCAATATCCAAAATTGCTGTCTGTTCCATAGCATAAAAAGTATAGTAAAAGAAGTGGCAAACACATCTAAACACGTCGCGCCAAAGTCTCTCAATTCTTTGATTACTTGTTGATGAACCAGCTATGTAACTTCCTCGTCCTTCGCCCCGCTGGGAAACCATCTCATCGCACACCAGCACATTTTCAACACCATAATCCACACGGACACGAGAAGGCCATAATCCCTCATTTTCATTGATAGCTCTTAGAAATAAATTCAGGACAGTTTCTGCACGGTTATTTGTATTGCACTTCAAATACATAATTTTTCTGGATTTACCATCACAGCAGCCATGTATGACAAACTTCCATCTGATGAGGGAATGGTGGCCATCTAAGTGCCAAAGGGAATTTGGCCAACGTACAAAGTATTTTCGTCTTGAAACTAGAGCACCCCAACGTAACGCAGAGTGTTCAGGATCTACCCTGTTCAGCGACGCTCTAATTCTTCGCCTTTGTATATGAAGGCCTAAAGATCTAAAGTAGCCAGACATGAATGGTTCACCAGTGGTTGAACCATGCCGGGAAATGTACTCCCTTACAATTTCGTCAATTTCCTCATCCGAAATTATGGAAAACCTTTGTAAATTTGAAAGGTTATACTCGTTGACACGACGCATAATAGTCCACCTGGATACGCGAAACATACTGGAGATCTTGCTCCAAGAAAAATTAAGACCTCGCAATTCTATCAAAGAGTCCTTTGGAATGTAATATTAAACACGGCCTGCCAGGACGTTTAGTTTCCTCTATTAGTGGTGGCAGATGACATGTAACAGTAATTCGGGTCGCTTCGTGATGGAAGAGGCGAATGAATTCATTTTCAATTTTACAATAAATGTCGATCAATTCCCGCCATTTGTGTGAGTCAGGCTCAGAAGCACAGTGAACTGCAGGAGCATCCACAAAATCTTTGATTTCATTCAGTAACTGTACGGTCTTACCAAGTAAATCAATGTGTTTCAATAATTCAGAGAGAAAATTATCCGAAGCGCTTGTGTTTTCCAGCAAACGAATTTCTTCAGATCTGTTTAAAACAAAAGCTAAAAACTGTTCGAGTTCATCGGCCATCATAGATTGAAACACCGGTGGTTAATGGTTATTATACAAGTGAAGTGGTTTCGATTTTCGACTCGGCGGGGGCACAGCGTGGTGCACTGGTGCTTCCAGGGTGTTTCCACTTTGTAGTGATATGTTTTTGAAAAAGTTTAAATGATATTTTGAAAAAGTTTAAACGATATTTTGAAAAAGTTTAAATGATATTTTGAGAATGTTTAAACGATATTTTGAAAACGTTTAAACGATATTTTGAGAATGTTTAAATGATATTTTGAAAAAGTTCAAACGATATTTTGAGAATGTTTAAACGATATTTTGAAAACGTTTAAACGATATTTTGAAAAAGTTTAAACGATATTTTGAAAAAGTTTAAATGATATTTTGAAAATATTCGAATAATTATTTGGATCAGAGATATTTTAACGTGAACATCAACATTAGTTATCGGAATACATATTCATTTCTACGGATTAAATATTGCTACAAACGGGCAGGCATACCCTGCCCTCACGGCATATAATCTTTCGACTGACAATATATCCTCGACGAGTAAAGTTTTGACGCTCGTTTATTGACCAATCGAAAACGTTCTTATATCCAATTTAGTCCTTAAAATATATTTAATCTTAGGTTAAATATTTTAACCCTGGGTTAACTAACCCTACCGCTAACCCTGCTTTGAACAACACAGTTTTAACCCAGGTTTAGCTAACCTAGGGTTAAGGATTTTAACCCAGGGGCCAGTTGTTCAAAAGCCGGTTAGCTTAACCCTGGGTTAAAGCAAATTTTTACACGAATTTTTTTGATCGCTTGTTTGTAAAGTTGAATATATTTTTTCATAAATATTTTCTGGACCGATAGATGTTATATTTTCTAAAGTTTTAAGTCGAACAGTTGTTCAGAAGCACCTAAACTAAAACACCGGGTTAACATTTAACCCAGGGTTAGCGCTAACCTAGCTTTGAACAACTGGGCCCAGGTTTAGCACTAACCCAGGGTTAAATTTAACCTGCTTTTGAACAACCGGCCCCAGGTCCTTAACTGACATGCTCCCGTTAGACGTATGAGAATTCGAGTAATTCTCTTCCCCGGGTTTCTCAAAGCATCAAGAGTTTAATTAGATCAAGAGACTTCCATAAAATAAAAGCGATCAGATACAATTCTCAAAGCAAAAGTTAATTTTGAACTAACTAAAGCCATTACACCCATTTACAAGTCTGATGATAGCCTAAATGCGAAAACTATCGCCCTATATCAATACTACCTATCGCCTGTGAAATACTCGAGAGATGCGTCTTTAATTATGCTTGTATTTCTATTCTAAAATTAGTCTAGCCGTTCTTTTTATGTATAAGCCGTAGTCATGAATTAGCTCGTTTCTTGCATCACGCCATTAGTAGCAAATGCTTGTTAATTTGAGACATTTTGAATATTTACTCAGCCTCAGGTTTCACACGTTAATGATCTTCACTGTCTTTTATTAACTTTAAAATTTGACCGGCCTGTTCCGATGGCAATCCGGTACCGTGTGAAAGGGGCCAAAATGTCATGTTTGCTGGTTCGTATTTAATTAATACACAAGCGTGGCGGTTTATAAAGCGTGCTTTCGGCGTTTTCCGGCACTTTTCGAATCTGAATATTGCAAGTCCGAATGATATCGCAGGCTCTTTGAAACGAAATTTGGATTAGGAAAAGGGTATAGTGGCGAAGTGTATAATGGAAAGGCATGCCTTTGGTGTAAACGGACTACTTTACTTATCACTCTGCGGGCTACAGCGGTATCAGAGAGTATTTCGAGAAGGAGTTGATGATAAGCTAATCAAAGATGGGCCGACCTTCGGTCTGCAGCTCTTTACTCAAATAGCACAATGTATCACGTCAGAGAAGGGTGAGACGGCGAGAAGCGGCGTAGCGTAAAGGCGGATTTCCACTTACAGCGAAATCGTTCGCTGGCGAAATATTTGCATATTTTCTTTTGAATTGAGAGCACTCAAGTCGCACTAATTTATTTATGCTGTTTAAATTCAAAAGAAAATATGCTAATATTTCGCTAGCGAACGATTTCGCTGTAAGTGGAAATCCGCCTTAATACAGATACCTGCTGAACAGGCCTAGCAGCATCAATTACTGTTATTAAACATCAGCTGTGTCAATTTCAATGTGATGATAGTGAAGTACGGCTAGAGTGATTAGGGTGGATTTCCATTTGCAGGGAGACAGCTGTTTGCGTATTTATTTTTGAATTTTGACAGTATAATCAAATTAGTTCAGCTTGACAACTTTCATTTCAAAACAAAATATACAAATGTTTCGGCTTGCAAATTATTATTTAGTAGCAGGTGCATGGAAATCGTGCTTAAGGTTGTTGTTAGATGTCGTGTCAAGTTAAACAATTCATTTTGTTCGTGTTAAATTTAAGTTTGAAAAGTTTTAACCCCTAGAAGCTTGTATATTTGCTATATAATTATATGAGTTATAGCGAAAAACCGGGATCATTAATTATTAAACATATATGCGAGATATTTGTTAAATATTCGAATTTCAATAGGAGGGCTAATAATTTTGTCGTTACCATGGACTGAGGGGCTGTTTACATGAGCCCGGTTACCCGAGATTCAACGAAGCGTGAGATGATTTTGAGGTATTGAAATGAGCAGATAACGTGATCCTGGCAGTCGTATAATCACCACAACAATAGCATGTGCTTGTTTGGTGTCATAAAAACTTATTTCAATACCTCAAAGTCCTCTCATGCTTCGTTGAATCTCGGGTAACCGGGCTCATGTAAACAGCCCCTGAAATATACGCAGTTATACATGATTTAAAAAACTAGTCCATGATGTCTATCGAAATTTCGCTGTCGAGTCTCTGGTACAGCCTTTCACGGACGTTGAAGGCAAGTTCTTGCATTAGCCACTTAATTTAAACTCAATCTCAATAATTTTACTATAATATAAGTTCAATATGGTTCACTGATTTTGAAATAGGCCCATAAACAGGTATATTATGCTGTATATTACATAGCTAGAATCCGTCTACACAGTTACGTTGCTCTACACTAAGTCTTTTATCTCGTCTATGACTATATTTATCATTTATAGACCTGTAGGCTGTAGCGAGGGGAATTCGACGAAATATTACCCCCAAGGGAAGATATATCTTCCCGAAGGGGGTAATATTTCGTCAAATTCCCCGAGCGGAAGGTCTATAAATTATATATTATATCGAAACAACGTGTAGGCAGCGCAAAAGCTGGATGAAATGGCTTCTTTGGTCGGCGTTAGATCATATCGAACTAACGTACATGACGTCATAAATTTTGCAATAACGGAAGTATAATAACAGAAGTCTTACATGAAGTCTTCCAGAGCTGGTTCATAAAAATGATAGAATAAAAATGGCGATGAATGATGATACATTTATACATTTATAAATGTACACGAAAGTGTAAATGTCTGTTACCCTCATACCCAGTATGGGAGTGATCATATACTTATGTAATAGTATCTCTGGCTTTATCTTATTACGGTTAGGGTTAGGGTTATTGAAAATTGTATGACGTCATGTACGTTAGTTCGATATCATCTAACGCCGACCGGCTTCTTTTGCCTCCATTTTGAAATTGTTGACAACCTCGAATCGTGTGCGAGGCATCCACGCGTGGTACACGCAAACTCGAATACCCCGCTGCAGCGGGGTATTCGAAGTATTCGACTTTTATAGCATAATGTGAAAAAATTCGATGGAACTGCATGATTAATTTACTGATCACGTGGTACAAATCGAGCTTTCTGATTGGATGATTTACAGTTGAGATATAATATTATTTGTAGATTATATGGTAGGATAGAATTCCAGACACAATTTGACGACATTTCTCTCTCGGAATATATATATATATATATATATATATATATATATGTGCAGAAAAACAAATACACCTTACATATATATATATAATATATATATATATACAGTCGTTATCATTAAGGTTGTCACCTGGAAATATATATAAATACCTAAATATCGATCACGTGATTGTACTGCATACGTTAATTTTATGGGAAATCGTTGGAAATCTATGTTGATAATTTCTTAAATGTCATAGTAAGGTGGACAATATTGATAATAATAAAGAAACAAGAGGTAAGTGAACAAAATAAGCCATGTTTAATGGTCACGTGATTGATATTTATATATTTGTGTATATATTGACATGGACAACCTTAATGATAACGACTGTATATATATATATATATATATATATATATATATATATATATATATATATATATATATATATATATATAGGCTTTATAAAGCACTCCGTCATACGCTGCAAAAATTTTCAAGCTAGCGTTTTCACATGAGCTATACAGTATAGCATTGTTAGCCTCTCAACAACAACCGTTTCCTCACGTTTCCATCGGATCATTCATATAAGATCTAGTCACTAAACCTTGCTTGATCATTTGTATTTCTGTCTTGATTTTTGTACTAGCTGTTCCGCTCTATAGTTTGCAGTTAGGTGGATTATTTTTGGCCATTATTACATTATCATTTATGCACATAATTTTTGACATTACACTACCATATTGAAAATAGTAGAAAAAGATATATTTTGTTGCATTACTTTGATTTATAAAGATATTATATTTGGTAGGTATTGTAAAAACTACTTCATGTATGAATATTTCACATTTCTAATTCAAATTCAAAATACGTAAACTTATATACTAACAACGCTTTTGGTTATTCTTTTTTGAAGAAGATTATGCCTACAACGTAGAGCCTTAGAGATTTATTCTGACTTATAGAGCCTTAGATTTATACCCTGCTTCGATACACCACTGGTTAAACAACAATAGGGCCTAATTCGACTTCGTCTCGACGGTTTATAAAGCTATCTTGAAACTCAAAATATCTAATATCAATGAAATATGATAATTAACTGATTATTGACCAAACACGACGCCTGGCTCTTTTTAAAACCCTGTCCACACGTGCAGGATATTTTTTTGAAACGTAGGTTTTTTATCCGTTTTGGCCTTGCGTCCAGGCGTATAACCGGCGTAACCGAAAACGGAGGTTTTCAATTTCGGTAACCGAAATTAAAACGGAGGTGTTCGAATTCGATGACGTTTGTACTCGGATCCAGTCTATAACGGGCCATTAACGGCGCGTGTATTGTATCTCTTCAAGATTGTGAACTAAAATTGCTTTGTTGTTTTACTTTGGCCTATTTCATAATTTCAAGTCTAATAGCATGCATTCAGCTTCATGTTACTATGCTAAACCTACACGGAGAGTATATTTAATAAAGCAAATGAATACGATGAAAATGCTTTCCACCTCACCAGCTAGATCACGAAGATTTGGTCATTTAGTCATTTTAATCCAAGAAAGGGCGAGCGTAAAGCGAACCCAAAGCAAATAAGCAGAATTGTTTTTAAATTCCACCAAATAAACATATTTGTTATCGATGGCATTCGAGCCCTGTGATCGTTTGGAAACGCTCATATTACTTGGAAATGCGCATGCTCTACAAATTTCCTTCGTTTTAGCGTTTTCGTGTGGACGCAAATTTTCTTAAAAGCAGAGAAAAAATACTCCGTTTTAAAAATATCCGGATACGTGTGAACAGAGTCTGCTGACGTTCTTCTTAATTGTTAACTTTTAGTTACGGTTTATTTTTTCTGGTTACCGGCTATAAACGGCTCACATGCACAATTCCCCACATGTGCGGTGCTACAATTACTCTGGAATTGAAGATGCAGGCATAAAATACTGCATGTCAGAGACATAATCAGATAGTTTCCCCGCTATTTTTGTCTCCGGTTTTGAAGATCGTTTGCAAACCTATTATAGCAAAAAGAGTTTCGCAGGTGTACTTTATAATAATTCAATTTAAGAATCCATTTCTCTACAATTTGCATCTACCCGAGAGCTAAAATAACATAGACAGATAAAAAGGAGTAAAAAAATTTGGAGCAGTTATATTTTTAGTCAATCTTCTTATCTTTATTTCACAGGCCGTGACTCAGTCCTAAAATGAAAATTACATATTTGAAGACTTGGATATTCTGTGTAATTATTCTACGACATCTTATTGATGGAGCAGAGGAATACTTCATCGCACCGTCAGCGTGGTATTACATTAAATCGCTGGGACAAAACATGGCTTTTCTCGGTGTTGTTATGTCTGCATTCCAATTCAGCGCTCTCCCGTCGAGTCCCATTGTTGGAAGCTTTTCTGATAAATTTGGACATGTTAAGTGCATCATCGTCGTCAGTTTGTTTTTGAAGTTCACTGCTTATGTGATATATGCAATCCCAGTCTCAGCTTATTTTCCCTTGGCAGGCAGATTATTAGCTGGTCTTACCGATGGATCTGTAGGAGTATTTTATGGACAAATAATATTGTACACGCCAGTGAGACACCGAGCGCAAATCTTTATACTGTTGGATGGTGTATTTACCTTGGGCAGCCTCTTTGGTCCAACAGTCAGCGTTTTCTTAACATTTAATGTCAATATCCTTGGCTGGAAGATTGACGCTGGTAATTCTCCAGGGATTGTACTTGCAGTGTTATGGTTTGGAATATTCCTAATTTCGTTGTGGTTTCCTAGAGATTTTGGAACAAGGAAAGTGGTAGATTGCGAAGACGATGGCAATGATAATGCTCCTGCGACTCAGGATTTTAGTAGACAATCGAAATGCGGTTCGCACTCTGCAATCTGTTTGATGTTTTACCTAATTTTTTTGAGCTTTTTTTACTCGAATATTGCGACTGTTTACGTTCCCTTACTTGCACAAGAACACTTCCACCTTCAGTTTATTCACGTGAAGTTGCTATTCCTCGCAAGTTCTTTGTTTTCCATGGTTTTATTCATCGTTTTCTATCTTGCTGCGAAATATTACGATGAAGCCCAGCTGTTAATTTCTTCGATGCTGATGCAGGTGTTCGGAATAGCGCTTTTAACAGGCATTGGTTTTAGCTGGGACAGTTCGTTAGGTGTATACGGCGGTTATATTCTCCTTCTTTACATATGTCTTGGAATGCAATTTTTTGCATTTTCGTTTTGTTGCCCGCTCTTGTCTAAAATTACACATTCAAAACATGCAGCTTTTTATCAATCTTCTTCAATTTCCGCACTTCACTTAGGATATCTGACAGGGCGTCTTATCTCCTCGTTCATCTTCACCAAAACATCACTTTTATACTTTTGTTTAGTCCAGTTTTTAAGCTGGGCCTTTGGTGCTGTCTGGTTTGCTTTGGAGTATCCGAACTTACGTGGATTAAGGACGGAATGAACCAGACGTATGTGCAAAGATTTAAGGTCCTTTTCTTGCAACTTGCATTACAATTATAATTTTTAGGGTAGTTAATTTGTAAAGAGTGTTCGAAATGCTAACAAAACGTTAGCTTATCGTAAGAGATGTTCGTATTTGACAACTTTAGATGCTTTGGGAGTAAAATTTCAATGCAAGTTACAAGGAAAGTTGCATGGTGTAGTACCCACTTTATTGGTGTACAGTTTGCGTACGTGTAAAATTTAACAATGTAATATATTGCTATGTGAATATTTCTTCTCATAACTGAACTCGGTATGTTTTCCTCATGATTGTTCTGAGATTAAAAACGTGAACAGAATTTTAATAACTGTCTGACAAGCCTTACAGATATAAAACTTGCGCTTAAATCTTTACTACTTTTAAATGTTCGAAATTACCGAAAGGCAGTGTTTCCTTCTGATCTCTAATGAAACTTTATTTCAAGAGGGTATTTTCTACATTATTTATTTTACAGTTTGACACGTATTCTACCTAATGGCCCTCTTTAGTGTTCTCTCGAAAGAATTAAGATTGGTAGGAAACACATCGACAAATGACCACGTGCTTGCAAGCAATGCAGCTAAACTTTTTGATATGGTCACTGACTGTATAATTAAAATTAATAAAGTAATTTATTTTTTACGATTTTCCTATAAGATATAATAGTAAATTTCGAAATTTCTGGCAGTGAATTAAATAAACTTGCGCCACTAAATGATAACTTTGACTTAGCAGATTCCGTTTTTCCAGGTCTGTCAGACATGATCTCGTGTGTATACTAGAGCGATGTCTCATAACGAAATGAGACCAAATTTTATAGACTCGACTGCAATCACTGCGCATGCATAAATTCAATAATCGAAAAACAAACATTCGACGTTTAGTCCTTGGGGGAGAAAATTATTTGTGCTGCTTTGATGTTTTGATGGTTTAGTTATATAGTGAAGTATTACCTCTCCCTTAAATTGTGAAAGTCTATAACTGCATGCAACGTAATGCAGCAGGAAAACGGGCGGTTGCACTTCACCATTACGACTGCGTTTGTTTTCGAAAATTTTGAAACACCACTCATCAGCAATAGGCATTACACTTAAGATAAGGTATATATTTCAAAATATATACTGAGAAGATTAGGTCTGGTTAGCTCAGGAAATATTTTGCTTCGTTTGAAATTGGGAGGGATGTCGCATGGTTGTATTTCTAGCTAAAATTAGTCTAGCTGCTCTTTTTTGTATAAACAGTAGTAGGTCATGAATTAGCTCGTTTCTTGCATTACCCCATTAGTAGAAAATGCTTGTTATTTTGAGACATTTTGAATATAATATACTCAGGTTTCCCACATTAAACATCTTCACTGACTTTTATTAACATTAAAATTTGACCTGTTCCGATGGCAATTCGGTGCCTTGTGAACGGGGCCAAAATGTCATGTTTGCTGGTTAGTATTTAATTAATGAACAAGCGTGGCGGTTAATAAAGCGTGGTTCCGGCGTTTTCCGGCAGTTTCCGAATCAGAATATTGCAAGTACGAATGATATCGCACGCCAGTCGAAACGGGTATAGTACAGTGGTGAAATGGCAAGTGTAAGCAGGCTACTTTACTATCACTCTGCGGGCTACAGCCGTAGTGATGATAAGCTAATCAAAGATGGGCCGACCATCGGTCTGCAACTCATTACTCTTACCAACGAAAAAGCGAGGAGCAAAATAATATGAAGCAATTTCAATGTTATGATAGTAAAGTACGGCTAGAGTGACAAGGGTGGATTTCCACTTACAGAGAAACAGTTATTTGCATATTTTCTTTTAGTAAATAAATTAGTTCAGCTGGACAACTTTCATTTCAAAAGAAAATATGCAAATAATTCGCTTGCAAATTATTATTTAGCAAGCGGAAATTTTGCCTACGGGTTGTTGTTAGATGTTGTTTCAAGATAAACAATTAATTTTGTTCGTGTTTAATTTTGAAAAATTGTAACCCCCTTAGAAGCTTGTATATATAGCGAAAAACCGGGATCTCTATTAAACATATATACAAAATATTTGTTGAATGTTCGAATCTCAATAGGGGGGCTAATAGTTTTGTTGTTAGTGCAATTAGCCACGTGAACTACAAAGCATAAAGGATGCTCATTACTAAACATACCATGGACTAAAATATACGCTGCTATACATAATATAAAAAACTTTAGGCTATCGAAATTTCCTCGTCGAGGCTCTGGTATACAGCAATTCACGTTAAAGGCAAGTTCTTTTATTAGCCACTTAATCTAAACTCAATCTCAATATAATTTTACTATAATTATACAAGTTCAATGGTCCACTGATTTTGAAATACGCTTAAAAACAGGTATATTATACCGTAATATATAGCTATAGTCTTTTTATATCTCGTCTATGACTACATTCGGTAGATTATTTTCTAATTCGCATAGACTGCTCTAACAATTCCAGACACAATTTGACGGCATTTCTCTCTCGGAATGTATATAGACTTTATATAAAGCAATCTGTCATACGCTGCCAAAATTTTCAAGGTAGCATTTTCACATGAGCTATGTAACCATCAGCCATGTTAGCCTCTCGACAACAACTTTCCTCACCGGTTTCCATCTGATCATTAATATAAGATCTAGTCAATTCATTTGTATATTTCTGTCTTTATTTTTGTTCTTTTCCGCTCTATAGTTTCTAGTTATGTGAATTATTTTTGTAGTGTAACTTTGATTTGTATAGATATTATATTTGGTAGGTAGTGTTAAAACTATACTTCATGTTCGTGCATGTAGTAAATTTCACATTTCTATTTCAAATTCCAAATAGGTAACCTTATAGCTACTATAACAATGTCTAGATATATCTGTTGCTGCAGCCAAGAAAGTTTTGCTCAAAATAATAATTTTATAGTCGCCTTACCTTTTATCTTTTTATCTTCTTATTGTACATAGTATCGAAAGTTAACAATATATGTATTGAGATATTATTATGAGTTTACTATAACAACGCTTCTGCATGGTTATTCGTTTTTGACTAAAGAATATTTTTACATAAAAATCTGCCAATATAAATAAAAGGTACAGTCGTAGTATTTTATTCTGACTTATATACCCTGTTTAGATCCACCACTGGTTAATTGCACGAAGGCAACAATAATTCGACTTCGTCTCGGTTTATAGAGCAATCAAAATATCTAATATCAGTACTGAAATTATATTAATTTTACCCATGATTATTGACCGAGCGCGAAGTCTGGCTCTTTTAAAAAACCTCTTTTTATTTTGCACAAGTTTATGAGACGCTTTCCCAAAAACTTTACGAAATGACAGAATTGCTGACGCTCTCATTGAAATATAAACTTTCTGTCTTAGCCAATCAGAACGTTGTTGATTAGCAGCGTTATACTCACGCATACGCATAACAGACAAAACGAACGTCGACCGTCCACCATCCATGACAAAGAATTTGGACAACTTTGGTTTCGGCTATGTTCTCCCGGGATTCGTAACCTGGCGTATGTGAACGAATGAACACACTACAAACCTGGTAATTTTAACTCCAACCAAAGAACAAAATTGAATGAAGATTGTGCAAAGGCCCTCTTTTGCATTTGTCAGAATGATAATTACATACACTTATCGTGTAGTCTAAATGGGCCTTTACATTTCTCTTGAATGAGAAAACTTGAATATCATTTACTGAATAATTATGTAGTTGCAAAAGCCACACAATAAACGAGTGTCAATCCTGGATTTCCTTACATCTTCAGGCACAGTGAATTCAAAACAAAAATTATCAATACTGTACATTTACAGAGCAATAATACCTTTTTCAATTTTATAGACAAAGAAAGTAAAAAAATGGAGATTACATACCTAAAGACCTGGGTATTCTGTGTAATTGTTTTACGGCACTTTATTGCTGGGCTCGACGAGTACCTAATCGTACCAACGGCCTGGTATTATATCAAATCTCTGGGACAAAATATAACTTTCTTCGGAATCGTCATGACGGCATACCAATTCGCCGCTCTTCCGTCCAGCCCAATCATTGGGAGAGTGGCGGACAAATTTGGACATGTTAAATGCATCCTCGTCGTCAGTTTGTTTTTGAAGGCTGTCGCTCATGTGATATATTCAATTCCAGCCTCAGCTTATTTTCCCTTGGCAGGTAGAATATTAGCTGGGCTCACCAGTGGATCCATTGGAGTAATTTTTGGACAAATAACACTGTACACACCTAAGAAATATCGAGCACAAATATTTATAATGTTGGATGGAATATTTACCTTGGGAACGCTTTTTGGTCCCACTGTCGGCGTATTTTTGACCTTTAATGTAAATATATTTGGATGGAAGATTGATGCTGGTAATTCTCCTGGTATCGTTGATGCAATGATATGGTTTGGACTGTTTCTAATTACGCTATGGTTCCCTAAGGAGTTTGGAACAATAAAGGTGACAGAGGACGATCATGACGATGAGGGTGATAATGTTCACAAACAAGCAAAATATGGTTCTTACTCTGCAATTTTTTTAATATTTTACCTGGTATTTTTAGGCTTTTTCTATTCAAATACGGTTGCAATTTTTGTTCCCTTGCTTGCACATGACCACTTCCATCTTCAATTCATCCATGTGAAAATGCTATTCCTCGCGTGCTCCATGTTTTCCATGGTTGAATTTCTCCTGTTTTATATTGCTTCAAAATATTACCCTGAGACGCAATTGCTAATATGTTCGATGCTGATACAGGTATCCGCAATATCGCTATTAACTTTTATTGCTTTTAGTTGGACCAGTGGGTTAGGTGTAAACGGTGGATATATTCTCCTCCCATACATCTGCCTTGGGATACCATTTTTCACATTTTCTTTGTGTTGCTCGCTCTTGTCTAAAATAACAGATCCAAAAGATGCAGCTTTTTACCAATCTTCATCACTTGTCGCAGCTCACGTTGGATTCTTGCTTGGCCGTCTAATTGCATCGAACGTTTTCGCTAAAACATCGCTGCGGCTTTTGTGTTTCTGTTTGGGGCAGTTTTTAAGCTGGACTGTGGGTGTCGTCTGGTTTACTTTAGAATATTCCAATTTAAGAGAAAAAGGAAAGAATTCTTAACCAAACAATCGCACCTCACGTAAATGGAGTGGAATCAAATCAATACTATGGAAACATGCTATACCAATATAATACTGTTTTCATATCATATCTATTAATATCAGGATAAATTATAATAAACTTCAATGCTATTTCCAATTAAAACACATACTATTTCAAGGGTAAAAATTTATACACGATTTAAATTGTTTCGTTGGTGAAGCCAAAATTTGATGTATTGTTTTTTATGAATTGTTTTTTATACAGGAAAAGTATTTTTTATATATTTAAAAAATTAAAATTCATATGATGAGAGCAGCATTTCATGTTATGAAAATCACTTTTCTTATATGAAAGTCGAATTTCATATATCAATTTTTTTATTTCATATATGAAAATGTTCATTTCATATATGATACTCCTATTTCGTACATGAAATGTCATGTAAAATTTTTGTGAAGGTTGATATTTCTTTCTATACACTTTGCGGGGAAGGCCAA